ACATTGGCCATTTTACTTTTTTTTCCCCAAGATAGATTCTCACTCTGTTGCCCAGGTAGAGTGCAGTGGTGTCATCATAGCTCACTGCAGCCTCAAGCTCCTGGGCTCAAGCAATCCTCCTGCCTCAGCCTCCAAGTAACTGGGACTACAGGCATGCACCACCATGCGCAGCCATTTTTTTCTATTTATTTGTAGAGATGGGTTCATTTTGTTTGCTTAGGCTGGTTTCCAACTCTTGGCCTCAAGTGATCCTCCCTCCTCAGCCTCCCATAGTAATAGTATTGTGTCCAGTCCATTTTACATGTTTAAAGGGACATTATTCCTTGTTGAAGGAACATTGCTATCTAGTGGACTCCTATTTAGGAAATTCTCAGAGCCTCCCGTTACTTAATGAAACCAGCAAGAAACAGAAAAATTGGCTTTTCTGGTATCCTGGAATGAAAACAAGGGTTTGGACAATGAACTGGATCAAATGAATGTTGAGTGTTTCCTACTAGCCCAAAGAAACAATGATTCCTAGCACTCATAATAATATTAGTAGTAGATAACATTTATCAAATGCTTTCTATAAGTCAGACGCTGTGCTTAAGTGCTGGACACAGTGTATGTCACATAATCACATAACACTGTGGGAGAGGTATCATAATGATTCTCATTTATACAGATGAAGAAACTCAGGCACAGAGCGGTTATGTAACTTCTCCCAGGTGGCACAGCTAGCAAGTGATGGAGCCGGAAATCAAATCCAGACAATCTAACTCCAGAGACAGTAGAAAATTTATGAAGACACTGCCAGATTTGATGCCTAATTTCCAATGGGAATTTCCTTTCTCCACCCACTAAAAGATTTTGTTACATTTCTTGCCAAGCATACCAAGAACAGGAAGCACAGAAGTCTAGTTTTTCATTTCTCTGGCTTATAAATTTGTGAAAATTAAACTAAAAATATCCCCTGTGTTTTTTTATTCATTAAGAGATAAAATAATTTCAAAAGGAAGTTTCCCTAGAGCAAAAGTTCCTTTTTCAGAATCCGTTTCACATTCAGAATTTGAAATGGAATAAAAAATGGGACAGTGTTCAATGTCTGCAGTGTCAGGTAATTTCTTTCAAGGTTCTATCACTAAACGTTGTGCTTGACACGTGGAACCGAATTTCCATTATGTTCAGTCAAGCAAGATTTGACGGATGGAGCCGTCACTCCTTACAATGATCCTGCCAGGTAGCTGAGGAGCCCATTTTGGCCTCTGCTATCCTGTTATATTATGAGGTATTCATGCAAAAATAAACATTGTTTCTCTGTCCCCCAGTTTCCAATAATCACCGTTTGTCTAAATTGACATTTATGGAAGAACTACCAATGAGAAATCCCACTTACAAATGACTTGTGGGTTTAAATCAACCTAATTAACTTAAAACATAAGTACTTGAAAATCATGTGTCAAACATAAATTCTTTGGGCTTACTATCAATTGAAAATGATATTCTTCAAAAAAATAGATATGTTAGGAAGCACATGATGTTTTGCTGACCAGAAAGCATGACATTTTTAAAATGTATTTTCAATAAAACTGTATAACCATATTCCTGTAAGTTGTTCCTTCCTTGTTAAAAGAAGTAAAATTATCCTGTAGTAAGAAAAGGTAAAAATTGATGTGGAAAAACAACACTAAATAACTTGAAGTATAATGTTTTATTAATGCATGTAATAAACTCTTCTACTGAATACAAATACATGATTTTGTTGGTAGAAAATCATTTGCTCATGCTTTCACCAAATACATGGGTAAAAGGAATAAAATTTAAGATATATTGATTTTAAGGGTGTCAAATTAGTAACCTGCCTGTTTGGGTGATGAAAGGGAGTGTTGCTTTTTGCCTTGACAAAAGAACTTGGAAGAACCAAGCACTGTATGCCAGAAGGCAGGCCCCAAAAAGACCACAAGATGTCGCTTTCTGACAACCTCTTGCTTGTAGCTAACCCGACCATTGCAGAAGGAAGAGAGGGTGGGGAGGGGTGTTGACCATTTTTTGATGTGATAACCAGAAGTGCATCAGTTAGGATCTCCAACAATTGATGCATCTAGATCAACAGGGATTCTCTACTAATGTCCTAAACATAAAGCATAAATATTTTGTTCCCCCTTCAATTTCTTTTTCCTCTATAGCGACCCTGAGCACGTTGATGTTAGTGAGGATGTGAGATACCAAACCAAAAATTTTGCCATCATTACCTTTTGGTCTTCAACAACAAACATTCAGTGGGATGTTCTGAATCGGGATTATGTTCTCTATTTTATAGAGGAAGAAGCCAAGGCCCGGAAAGGTTGTAACTGACAGATAGAAATTCCAACGGCCAGGTTTCTCGACACCCAGCGCTCCAACTGGGGCTTATACACTGCCCCTTCCCCAGCTCTCATAGTGAAGGTGGCTGAGGACAGGACTGGACCTTTTCTGGTGTGTTTTCTTCACAACTTCTTTATGGTATGGTTACTTTATCATATATACAGGTTTGTTATATGACATAATACATATATGTATTACTTTGAAGACAATGTTGGTAGTTTATATTTTCTAAGCCAAATGCCCAATATTTTCAAACTCATCCACAAAGAGCTGTATGAGTGCTTTTCCAAGGCCTTGTCCTAATGTTGTATTTGCATGTGCCTTCTGCATTTTTATTTCCCTGGATTTGACAGATTCATTTCATGGGTCTTTCCTAGTATCTCCTCCTGAATTTATTTATAAATTGTATGAATTTTCTGTTATCCAAGTTTTTTTTTAAATGTTTATCTTTGTTAATTCCTTCCTCTTGCTTTTCTTGAGTTTCCTTCCCCCTTCCCGATAACATTTCTGTTGAATGCTTCTTTTTATCTTCTTATTAAATAATAATGTGCATTTAGGCCTGGCACCATGGCTCATGCCTATAATCAATCCTAGCACTTTTGGAGGCTGAGTTGGGAGGATTACTTAATCCCAGGAATTTGAGGTTGCAGTGAGCTACGATGACGCTACTGCACTCTAGCCCACTCTAGCCCTGGTGACAAAGAGAGACCCTGTCTCAAAAATAAATCAATGAATAAATAAATAAATAATTTAAAGATAATAAATTTCTTTTGAGAACATTGGCTATATCCTATAATAGCTAGCATTTACTGAGTGATTGCTACATGAGAGGTAGTATAAGTGCTCTATAAGTTTTATGCAATCCTCACTTCAAGCCTATGAAGCAGGCATTAGTATAATATAATATTACCATCATTTTACAGATGAAAAAAGTAAAGCTCAGAGAAGTCAAATAACTTAGCCAAAGTCACAGAGTTAATAATCATTGAATTCTAATTCTAATCATTAGAATTCTATACTGGAGTCCATATGACTCCAGTGACTGATCATTCAACGCTGAATTTTGATATGTACACTTTTTATTGTCTTCTACTCTCCCCCATCAAATAATTTATAATGGCAACTTCTAGTTCCTCTTTTACCCAACAGTTATGTAGGAAATTTGTTTTTATTTCCAAGAGATCAGATTATTTGGTTGACTTTTCGGTATTATTTTCAAATTTTCATGCATTGTGGCCAAAGCACTTGCTTACATATATTCTGCTTTTTGAAACCAAAACTTTCTTTTTGACATGGGACATAATATGAAAAGACTAGATCTTTAGTACTTAATTAAGTAGAGTGCTTATTATAGCACTTTGATCTTTGTATCTTTATTTCTTGTTATTTTCTAACAAATGTTACAAAGGCTAAAAGTGGTGTGTTGAAATCTCTATTGTAGTATTTCCCAATTTTCAATGGTGTAAACTCTACTGTATAATCTACCATCTTTGTGGCTTAATGCTTTGTGCCTTGAGGTCTACTTTATCCATCTTTAATTACAGCTAACATTTATTGAGCATTTATTGTGTCCCACATTTTGTGCTAAGAGTGTCACATGTATTATTTAATTATCGAAACAACTCTAGACAGGTGTAGATCCAGGTTTTGTGGGGATTGGAATTTATACACTACTGAGGGAAAAAATGGCAAAATTATGAACACAAAATTAGGTACAACGATGAATGTTCATTTAGAGTAAGAAAATAAACCATAACAACTTAAGAGCTCTCTTCCAGCATTTAGGAGAAATGCTTTCTGCTTACAACCTTCCCACCTGGAAGACTACAATTCAGCGGCCCTTGCAAAGGAACCTAATTCTCCTTAGCGTCACCCTAAATCTACCAGGTAGCGGGGAGAGGGGTTATCATTGGTTCCATTTTTATAGATGAGAAAACAGACTTAGGTGGAGTCAATTGCTCACCATTGCAGAGTTGGCATCTGAAAATTATGGGAATGGACTCCAGAGCCCTCACCTTTACCCCACGCCGCTCCCCACCGACATCACGGAGCGTGCACGAGGGCTTCGTTAAGGATGGCCGAGGGGCAGCAGCTAAAGAGGAGCTGAACAGAAGGGCAGGAGAAAAACAGAATCAAGAGGTGGGCGGAAATGGGCTCCACAGCTGTGGTAGAGAATGCGCCTTAGACAAAGGGAGAAATTCAAGGAGAAGAGGTAAAATGAGGCAGAAATAGAGCGAATTAGTCAGACCCAGGTACTTTCATTTATTTACAAATTGTACCGAGCCCAACCACGCCCCAGGCGTGGCAATGAGTTCCCGCAGCGCAGCGGCTGGGCCCGGGCACCCCACGCAACGCGACCGGCGCTGTTAGGAGGCGAAGGGGGGCCAGGACAGAGGGCGGGAGGCCACAACGGCCAGCCTAAGTACAAGAAGGCCGTCCGCTGAGATCCACTGCGGTGTTCGGGAACACCGCCTAGTTACAGGTGGACCAGCAGCGCCCGGGAGCCGCGCGCCCGGAGCGGCGCCGGAAATAGGGCCCAAGCCCCGCGTCCCTCTCAGCCAATGGCCGCGTGATGCGCCGTCCGACGGTGGCCTGCGCACCTGCAGGAAAAAGGCGGGAGGCCCATGAAGCGCAAGAAGGCACTATCTGTGTATGTTACCAGGCGAGCTACCAGGGCAGTGTAGCCAGGGACAAGCGTCTTTCCTCATGGTTAACCTAGGCCAGTGCCACCACGCCTTTAACTTGAGGCCGGGCACCCCAGCTGCCCTCAGTAAAGATGGCTGACTGGCGCAGGGAAAAGCCGGAAGTAGTTTGGGCTGAGAGGAGCGGATAGAGGGCTTTGGGGCGTGGCCTGTAGGCGGGGGCGTGGCCAGTCTCCGTAATCTGGGTTTGAGGTCTTTGAGGAGCACGCCGGGCAGCCAGCAGCGTCCCCACCGTCTCGCAGGGGCGGGTGCTCCACTGACTCCGCCCCCGCCCAGGTGTCTCCCTCTTGGGAGGTCCCTGCTAAGTCTCCAAGATTTCTCCCTTGTGTCCTGCCGAACTCTCGGCTCTCCGTGGACGCGTTGTCCCTCCGCGGTTCCCTTGCCCCCTGCGGTCGCCGGCTAGCAGCGATGGAGGACGCCCCGGAGAACGCCCGGGAGTCTGGCTCGTCCGGCCCCGGGTCCGCAGAGCCCGCGGGTTCTGCCAGGGGCCCCGAGGAGTGGCCTCCCGAGGAGTCGGAGGGCAGCACGCGGCCCCTGGAGGCGGCCCCGAAGAAGCTCTGTGGGTATTTAAGTAAATTTGGCGGCAAAGGGCCCATCCGGGGCTGGAAATCCCGCTGGTTCTTCTACGACGAGAGGAAATGTCATCTCTATTATTCGCGGACCGCGCAGGATGCTAATCCTTTGGGCAGCATCGACCTCTCCGGTGCGATCTTTGACTGCAAGGCTGACGCCGAGGAGGGGACTTTCGAAATCAAGACTCCCAGCCGGGTTGTGACCCTGAAGGTAAATGGAAGGGTTTTCTCCTTCCATCCTGGATGAGTTCCCAAGGGCATGGCTGGGCGCGGGTTTGCGGTCACAGTAAATTGACTGGAACAGAGATCACCGGCGTGTTCCCAGAACCTTGTGCTTTCTAAAGCGCATTCACACCCATTTCCTAATCGGGTTCCCACAAGGCAGGGTTGATGGACCCATATTAGGAGTCAAGAAACTGAGTCATAGATAAAGTGACTGGCCTGAGGTCAGGCATCTAGAGAATGGTGTAATCCACACTGGGAATCTTTCTATTTCTTGGTGCTGTTTCAAAACTTTACTTCGGGGTATCCCTAACAATATAGTTACCTTAGCTTTCTTGGGACTGAAGTATAGACAAATACAGTCTTTGCAATCCTCTCTCAAGGCCAGGAATCTGATTCACTTTTCTTAATGTTTTGGCCAAGGGGAGTGAATGCTGAGACTTTGGCAGGGATTAGGAAGATAAACACTTAGGTTTCACTGATCAGCCTAGATTATTCATCCGGGCATGTCTAAACCTGTTTTTTCTGTCCGCAGCAATAGGTAAATTTGTTTTATGATCATGTTTAACTGAGAAAGCCTCAAATAGTGGAAAGACCACATATTTTGAAGTCAAACAGGCTTGGATTGAAATTGTACGTTTGCTACTTAATAGCTGTGTGACCATGGGTGAGTTACTTAACCACTCAGAACCTAGGTAGTTTGTAGGCATCTGGCACATCACAGGCACCTACAAATTATTGAATTAATCTCAGCCTAGAGTATAGCCTAGCACCTAGTGGGTATGGAATGAATGTTGAATAAACACACATATATACATAGGATGACAGAACCAAGGTCAGAATGCTCATGTCAAGACAAGGTGTCCTGTAATTTAATTGGAAAGACATATCTGGGCCAAGAGTTCTGTGGGTATCAGAGAAGAGTGTGCCAAGAGATAGCCTTCCTCATCGTGTCCCCCTCTTTCTACTCCTCCATCCCCACTGCCAGCTAACTAGGCATGCATGGATGCCCACAGGTTCGGTTCCTTTACTGACGGGGCTTAGCTGGTGACCAGGCTGGGGACTTGGTTAAAATCTTGGAAACCACAAATTCCAGGCCAAGGAAGGCATCTTAGAGGTCATGTGGTTCCTGGGTCTCTTCCACAGGCTGAATGCTGTATACAGGGCCTGTGTACGTGGTATTTGCTCTTCCACCATTCCATGCATGGGCTTGGCTCAATTCTAGGCTCTGGGGTGTGGCACCAGATCAGCCCTGCCCTCTGGTTCTGGAGAGAGAGACTGACAGGCAAACTGGCACACACAGTAAAACATTCTATAGAGATTCTGTATAAGTCTGTACAAGAAAATGTCGCGACAGGAGGGGTCATTTCCACTGATGGGGGGAGGGCCTAGCCAGAAAGGCATCGTGGAGGAGGGACCAACACTTGAGGCTTGAAAGAAGAAATAGGTGTGTGATGAGCAGACAAGGAAGAGAAGGTATTCCAGGTCAAGAGAGCCCCACAGGCAAAGATAGTAAAAGGTGATCCAGCCCCGAGTGTCCAGGAACTCATAGGAGCTGGGGATACAGAGGGGCCAGAAGGATGGAGTTGGAGAGCAGAGGCCCAGGGGTGGGGCACTTATGAGTTAAGCCAAGGAGCCTGGACTTTGTCCTGTAGGCTGTGGGAAATTGTCAAAGAGCTTTGAGCAAGGAACACTGAGATTAGAATGTTTAGGAAGCTAAGGCCGGCTATTGGGTAGAGAACAAGTTAGGGGAAGGCAATGCTGGTAGTCAGGGAGCCCATCAGGAGGTGATCGGGAGCTGTGGCCGTGGGGAGGGCAACAGTGGAGGTGGCTTGGGGTTGTAGGGAAGTAAAATGTGGGAGGACATCAGGGTGGCTGGAGTAATTAACTGGCTTACTGCCTGGTTACTCACTGATGGGAGGGAACTCAGGATGAGGCACCCATGGGACATCTAGGTACATGGCCCCTGCAGGAGGACAGGGACCATGTGTGTTGGCTCAGCCCTGTATCTCCAGCACCTAGCACAGTCCTGACAAATGTAATAGGTGCTTGATGTACACTTGTCAAATGAATTAATACAGTGGGGTATTTGGGTTTGGCAGGAGCTTGTCAGTATTAAGGTCATGGTGAAGCCCTGACCTTGGGAGGGCTGAGGTCTCTTAGGGCAAGTGCACAGAAAGAGAAGACTGGTGGGCATCATTTTGTCTCGTTGATACCTGCACGACAGGCTGAGGGTCTCTTTCATGAAGCTCCCGGCCTAGTACACACCTGTGGACCCCTGAGAGGCAGAGCTTGCCCCAGTTGCCACTAGCCTGCTGCTATTCTCTCGCGGCCTTGATCATGGGCAGGTCTGTGGGGCTCCCCATCCACCCCCAGCGAGCTGCCTGTCTTCTGCAGCCCACCTCAGCTGATCTCAGGCCTCCTTTATGGAAGCCACAGATCTCCTGGCCATAAATCCCAGCAGAATTCTCTGGTTTAGAAGTGGGGCACTGGGTTCTGGGACCAGCTCTACCACCACAAGCCAGGGAAGCTTCAGGGCCTTCATTTCTTCATTTGTGGAAAGGACTGATCAGTCCTCCCTTGTCCTGCTCCTAGAGGATCCAGGGAGTGAATGGATGTGAAAGTGGGTGTTTGGACTATCCAGTGCTAGGAGACTGATGACCAGCATTTACCATTAACTTATTTGATGTGCTAGAGCACCTGGAAGGTGCCACCATGTTGTCACAGCATGTGGCTGTCCAGTCCTCATTCATATTCGTGATTCATTGCTTTCCCAAAGCAGGAGGGATCACCTCCATTTCACTAAAAGGTAGCAGAGACTTAGGGCTGTCACAGAGGAAGATAGTGATGGCACCAGGTCCCCACCCAAGTGAGAATTCCAAAGTCCTTCTCCTCTCCCACAGCACCTCCAAATCCCTCTGTCTGGTGAGCACATTTTGAGTACCTACTGTGTGTCACGTACTGGGTGGGACACTTTACATTCCTTATCTTATTTCATCCTCATACCTGCCCTAGAAAATGTACCTTATTGTCACCGTAGTACAGATGAGGAAACTGAGGCCCAGAACAGTTAAGGAACCTTTAAGTGGGAGACCAGACCCTGATTACCTTCTGTGGCCTAGAAGCATGTGGCCTTTCAGAGGTGAATACCTACCCACAGTGACCTTTTTTTTTTTTCTGGGAAAGAGAGAGTTCCTGTCCCACACCCAGTGCCACCCTGCAGGCGCAGGGCCTTGCCAACTAATCCTTGTGCTTCTCAGGCCGCCACCAAGCAAGTGATGCTGTACTGGCTGCAGCAGCTGCAGATGAAGCGCTGGGAGTTCCACAACAGCCCGCCTGCGCCTGAAGCCACCCTGGCTGGGAATGGGCCCGCCCTGCACCTGGAGCTAGGTACCCAAGGGGCTGGCCTCCTGTCCGCACACCCAGGGCTCTGGTGATTATGCCTTTACCTTCCTGTTGAGTGAGCGGGAGGAGCCTGGGATGTGGCTCAGGATTAGTTAGGGCAAGAATTTGGGCTTGGAGGCCAGACTGCCTGGGCTCAAATCCTAATTCTGTGTGATTTTAGGGAAGTCATTTAACCTTTCTTTTTTTTTATTTTTTTTTATTTCGGCATATTATGGGGGTACAAATTTTAGGTTCAATAAATGCCTTTCCCCCTGCCCCACAAGTCTGAGTTTCCAGCATGACCATCCCCAGATGGTGCACATCTCACTATTTTATGTATATATGCCCACCCCCTCCCCTCACTGCTCTTACCCCTTATTACTGTAGTACCTATCTGTCCACTTAGGTGCTACTCAGTTAATACCACTTTGCTGGTGAGTATATGTGGTGCTTGTTTTCCTTCTTGGGATACTTCACTTGTGGTATGGGTTCCAGCTCTACCAGGAAATATAAGATGTGCTATGTCACATGTTTCTTAGAGCTGAATAGTACTCCATGGTATACATATACCACATTTTATTAATCCATTCTTGGATTGATGGGCACTTGGGCTGTTTCCACAGCCTTGCAATTATGAATTGTGCTGCTGTAAACATTCGAGTGCAGGTGTCTTTTTTGTAGAGTGTCATTGGATCTTTTGGGTAGATGCCCAGTAATGGGATTGCTGGATCAAATGGTAAATCCACTTGTATTGCTTTAAGGTATCTCCATATTGCTTTCCACAGAGTTGAACTAGTTTGCAGTCCCACAGCAGTGTAGGAGTGTCCTCTCTCTCCACATCCTGCCAGCATTTCTTGTTTGAAGACTTTTTGATAAAGGCCATTCTCACTAGAGTTAAGTGATATCTCATTGTGGTTTTGATTTTCATTTCCCTGATGATTAGAGATGTTGAGCATTTTTTCAATGTTTGTTTGGCCATTCTTCTGTCTTCTTTAGAGAACTTTCTGTTCAAGTCCTTTGCCCACTTTTTAATAGGGTTATTTGATTTTTTTCTTGCTAATTTTCATGAGTTCTAAGTATATTTTAGTTATCAGCCCTTTATCAGATGCTTAGGATGCAAAAATTTTCTCCCATTCTGTAGGTTGTCTGTTTACTTTCAGGACTGTTTCTTTGGCTGGGCAGAAGCTTTGTAGTTTGATCATGTCCCATTTATTTATTTTTGTTGCTGCTGTGATTGCTTTTGGGGACTTTCATAAACTCTTTGCCTAGCGATCTCTAGGAGAGTGTTCCAACATTTCCTCTAGAATTCTAATAGTTTCATACCTTAGGTTTAAGTCTGTTATCCAGCATAAGTTGATTTTTGTGAGAGGTGAAAGGTGTGGGTCCTGCTTTAGCCTTCTACAAGTGGCTATCCAGTTTTCCTAGCACCATTTATTGAAAAGGGATTCTTTTCCCCAGCGTACGTTTTTGTCTGCTTTGTCAAAGATTAGATGGCTATATGAGGATGGTTTTATATCAGGATTCTCAGAGCTGTTCCACTGGTCAATATTCCTATTTTTGTGCCAATACCAGATTGATTTAATTACTAAAGCTTTGTGTATAGTTTGATATCTGGCATATTAATACTCTCCATTTTGTTTTGTTGCCTAGAATTGCTTGATATTCGGGGTCTTCTTTGGTTCCATACAAAGTTTATTTTTCTATATCTGTGAAGAATGCTGATGGGATTTTAATAGGTATCACATTGATTCTGTAAGTCTTTAACCTTTCTGAGCTTCAGTTTTCTTCCCTGTAACCTTCATAGGGTTATTATAGGATTAAATTAATCCATACACCTAAAATGGTTAGAACAATGCCTACACATGATCAGAGTCCAATGAATGTTAGCTACTATTTTGACAATAATTATGGGAAGGTCTCAAGAAATAACACTTCTACAGAGTTTCCATGAGGAGGGTTAATGAGAAAATGCAGTGTCGTGCTTGGTGCTTATGCATGTGGTTTTCTACAGAGAGCTGGGTAGATCAGTGATTTTATACCTGGTATTCTCATAAGACAGATTCCATTGCACCCTCATGGCTTACAAATGAAGTTTCTTGATCCCAGATCTTAGAACAACATCCCAGCATGGATGAGCTCAGGAGATTACACCCTCCCACCTGCATGCTGCAGCCAGGAACATGATTGGCAGGTTTTAGAATTGAGATAGACCACCTCACAGCTGCCCCTGCAAGAACATGGAAAACCAGGTCCCAGCACAAGGCTACAGAGTGTCTAAGTTGCCTCATCCTCAGTTGACATGTAGGCTGAATAGGCAAGGACAGGAGTTGTCACCAAGCACATCCTGGACCTCTGTACCTGGATGCTTTGCGTGTCCAAAACTGAGTACATCAGCCTTGACCCTTATCCTCCCCAGTGTCCCTTCCCTTGGTAGATGGCTCCCCACGGACTGTCCTCCACCCTTCCTCAGTCTCAGCCAGCGAGCCCAATCAGGCACCATGCTGACCATTTTTCTTCTCTGACCCATACGTTGGACCCAGGCATTTCTTGCTACCATTGCCCGGGTCAGACCTCATCGCTCAGTTGAAAATTACAGCAGCCTCCCCTCCAGTGTCCCTGAGTGCAGGCCTGCGCCTGCACCCATCCCTCCCCACACCCCAAGTGAGCTTTCTAAAAGGAAAGCCTGAGCCCACCACCCCATCCAGGGCTGGTCCACCACCCAGCTCCTGCACGGGGTGCTCATGCTCGTCCCTCGTGACCTCACCTCTGCCTGCTCCCCCAGTTCCCACCTTGGCCTTGATGCTTCAGCAGCACCAGGTGAGCTCTGCACTCGCTCTCCTATGCCTGGCAAATTCCCGCTTATTCTCGCTGGCTCAGCTCCATTGCTGCCTCCGCTTGCCACCCTCCTCCTGGAAGCCTTCTCTGACTCTGCCCACTGGACTGTCTGTGGGCCCTCAACACTTTCTTCAGGCATTTCTAAGGAGGCTGTCACATTGTGTTCTAATTACCCCTGTCCTTGTCAGTCTCTGTCTACTAGCCCTTAAGGGTGAGGACCATTTATTTGTCACTTGGTTGCCCCCAGTCCTTGGTGCCCTGCCTGGCACATTGGCTATTTGTGGAGTGAATGTGTGAGCGAATACATTGAACTTTATAATTCAATGAGGAAAGGAATGTAAAGCCATTAGTGTAATGCCACGCGCGTAGTGAGTGCTCAATACATGTGGCTGTCCTGATAATCACCTGTGTGTGTACCTGAGTGTGTGTGCTATAACTGTCATAATAGTACATGTACACACATATATGCTGTTACTGTTACAATAACTGCTTCTTGGATTGTTGAAAAAATAATCATCGGTGCTTTCTTTGGGGTTCCTTTTGGAGGGTTTCTTTGCCTCTGCACTTCTACTCCGGCCCCCACTTCCCATTTGCCAGGGAGCCACACAACCCTGGCTGCGCTGAAAATTGCAGCCAAGTTGACAGAATTGCCAAAGGTCAGCTCAGACTAGAAGCGAGAGGAAACCCTCCCGATAACAGAATTCTTGTGTGTCTGGAACTGAAATTTGAAGCAGATTATCAAAGCGTGGCTCTGGGATCCCACAGGCTCTTCCGTTGCGGTGAACTTGTTCCAAGTTCTTTAATTCTGTGGCTTCGCTCCAACACACGCAGCGGGCCTTTCTGGGCTAACCCCTGCTGGTAGTCAGGATGACCAGGGGGCCAGTCTCCCGAGAACGCTGGCGTGCGACTCCAGAAGCAGGGATGTAGGCTTCTCCCCCTGAAGCCTTTCCTCACCCCACAGCAAGTCTGTACCTTCCCAGACCAAGGGCCTGGGCAAAGCCTTCCCCAGTACACCCAGAAAGACATTTCTGGAATCTCGAGCAAGCCAGAAAGCCCTGGATTAGCTGTCTGGAGCAAGCTGTCCCCCTCTGCAGCCGCCACCCTTCCTGAGGAAGCAGAGGCCTGCTCCTAGGACGGCGAAAACCTCCTGACCCACGTCTGACTTTGAGTCACAGAGACTCCGTCTGGTAAAAAGTATCTTGTCACTGCCCTTGAGCAATCTGTAAGGCACATTCTCTACAGTTTTTAAGCATTTACAACTTTGTTTGATGCTTTACATACATAGTGGTTTGTTTCTACAGAGCCAAGGAAGATCAAAGAGAAGCCAGCAGATTTTTAATAAGAATAACACATTGCCAAAGTAGGCTAGAGTTTGCAAAGGACTTTTATAAATGTAGATCATCACCAAAACATGCATACCATTTATCAATGCTGCTCTAACCTGTTACATGCTTCATCTCATCTAATCCTCACAACATCTCATCTAATACCTCACAAGAGGTAGTTAGTGTTATTCACATTTTATAGAAGAGGAAACTGAGGCTTGCAGAGGTCAAGGGACCTGTCCAAGGTCACATAATAAGAAAATGTGAGTGCTAAAATTCAAATGCTAGTCTGCAGACTCATGCTTCCCTTCCAAAGCTGAGGGACAGCCATCCATCTGTCCAGGGCCCTCCCAGGAAGCAGTGACTTCCTGGGCCAGGCCCTTTTTTGTCTAGGCAGTGACTTCTTCCCACTGGTAATGGGGCAGCCCCTAGGGCTCAGGCAGAGAGAACTGCAGAAAAATACCACTGGTAATTCTTTGTGTGGTCACCTTATGGAGGGCATTTATCCAGGCTAGAGAGGGGCCCAAAGGCCCCAGACCACAACCTTGGATCATCAACTCTGTTTCCTGTGGAAAGTGCTGATCTCTGCTGTGACATTGCCATCACGTGCTGCCCATCCTTGGACAGTCCCTTTGCACCAGGGCCTTGTGGCTTACTGGGCAGCTCCTCCTGTCCTGGAATGGTCTGCTTGTTAGAAAGGCTGCTCTGATAAGCCACATGGTTTAGTGATAGAAGCAAAAGTGAGGAACTGCATTTGAGTGTATAACTCTGTCACCTGCTAACTTTGACCTTGGCCATGAAACTTATCCTCTCTGAGCTACTGTTTTCTCATTGGTGAAACCAACCAGAGATAACACCTCACCCCCAAGACTTAGTTTTCTGTGGTCTCCGAACAGATCTAGAGCCACAAGTGGTAGTAATAGGAAAACAAATAATGGTAGTTAGGGGGTTCTTACTAAGGTATTAAAATCTTAGAAAATCTGTACATTTTTTTTCTCTGAATGAGGGAAAATAAAGGTGGTTAAAGTATTGATAAACAAGGCTGAGTGCCATGGCTCACACCTATAATCCTCCCTAGCATTCTAGGAGGTCGAGGCAGGAAGATCACTTGAGGTCAGGCGTTCAAGACCAGCCTGAGCAAGAGCGAGATCCCATCTCTACTAAAAAGAGGAAAAAATGAGTTGGGCATAGTGGCACTTGCCTGTAGTTCCACCAGCCGGGAAGCTGAGGTGGGAGGATTGCTTGAGCCCAGGAGTTTGGGGTTGCTGTGAGCTAGGCTGATGCCATGGCATGCTGGCCTGGGAAAACATAGCAAGACTCTGTCTCATTAAAAAAAAAAAAAAAAAGTCTTCATAAACAAGAAAATCTTATTTATTTTGAATCAACTCAAAGTCTATATTAAAGACTACTTTGAAAGATGTGAGTCCACAGTATGGGGCCTTATGGTTTTCTGAACATTTTCATACACTTTAACTCCGAAGGAGACAGGATGGAGTGTAGCCTTGTTTTTTTAAAAAAAGTTATTTCCAACCAAGTCACAGCACCATCCTCACAGAAACAGGGCTGGGTTTCAAATCTTCTCACCAAAGCCAAGCTTAGTACTTCAGCTTCCTCTGCTCAAACGCCTGAGGGCTCTGGTTTCCAGCCAGATGAGATCCAGCCTCTTAGCCACACCCCTTTCCATTCGGCCTTCCGGATTGGGTCCCGTCTCCCCTGGGGTCCTCCCCACACACTCAGCTCTGGGTGTGGAACCCCTTGCTGTTGCCTGTACCTACACTTGCACGGAAAGATCCTTCCTCATTCCTCCTGCAAATCCAAATCACCTCTAGTCCTCAAGGCCCAGCTGCAGTGGTTCCCCTTCCAGGAAGTCTTCCCTGGCCAGAGTTGGAAGGACTCTGTCTCCACCTCCCAGAACTGCCCCCCAGCTCCTGCCCACCTGGTGTCCCCAAGGTGTGCACTCTTTCCTCCCCTGCTCCCTAGGCTGTGAGCTTCACTTTGATTCACCTCACTTTCTCCAGCCCTACATGGAAGCCTTAGGTTAGACAGCCAGTCTGTATTTGTTGAGAGGGTGAATTGAAGGGAGGGCCTCAAAAGAATGGTTTGTGAGTAGTGTTGCGGAGTACATATTTTTAAGGGGCTTCCGGGAGGGCTGTACCAGCAAAATGCATCATTTTCCTAGCTGCAGAACATTCAGTGAGCAGCTTCTTTTGCTGCTGTTAACCTACAGAGAAGGCTTGCTTGCCTGTGCAGATCCCCAGCTCCTGCCTGCTCCCAGTCAGGGCTGTGCCTGTAGTGTCCCACCTGTCCAGTCTTTCCAAGTGCGGTGACCTAGGTGTATTGATTTCCCTTTCCTTTGTTCCCCAGGGCAAGAGGAGGCAGAGCTGGAGGAGTTCCTGTGCCCTGTGAAAACACCCACTGGACTCGTGGGCACAGCAGCAGCCTTGCAGCCAGTCCCTGCCATGCCCTTGGCCCTTCAGAACATTTCCCTCAAGCACCTGGGAACTGAAATACAGTAAGTGCCAGTGGGGCCGGCAGCTGGCCAGGCTGCAAGCAGCCCTTCTGCAGGCCCTGACCTGATGCGATTCCCCTGCAGGGGGAGGTGGGCCAGGGAAGACGGTTAGGGGCTTTAGTTTCAGTTAACTACATCATCACTTTAAAATATTACATTTGTTGTTCTGGTTAGAAAAGTATGTGTTCATTGTAGGAAATCTTTGCTTTAAATAGTTCATGAGAAGGTAGCAGTATAGCCTGGGTGTTGGAGCCAAACTGCCTGGGTTTGAGTCCTGGCTCCATCAGTCATGGGTGTGCCTTGGCAAGGTGTTTGGTTTCTCTTTACCTACCTCATTAGTAAATGTAGGTAGAGTGGCGCTTGTCTTATAAGTTTAGCATGTGGGTTAATGCATGCAAATTGCTTTAGAACTGTGCTTGACAATCTCAAGCCCATAATAAATATTAGCTGCTGCTGCTTTTGCTGTGGTTGAAGGAATGGAAACTTTCAGGAAGTCAAACTATATTCAATACTGATCCTGTCTGGGCACTATTTTCTATGTGAACGTCAGACAAACTGGGATCTCTTAGAAGGCAGAGCAGATTGCTCACTGGACTTGGTTTAGGGACCCCCTAGCTCTGTGTGGCTCAGGTACAGTATTTCCCTCTGCCAGCTTCAGTGTTTGGGTGACCAGGAGGGTAGTGATGCCCTTCCCAGGAGGGAAGCAGGTTTTAGGGAAAAGACAATGCGTGTTCTTTGGGGCCTGCTGAAGGAGGTAGAGCTACCCCACAGGCATCTGGAGCCCAGGAGAGAGATCTGAGCTGGAGAGAGAAGCCTGGGGGTTATAGGGCATGATTGAGGGTGAGTGGGCAAGGGGGGCACCCCACAGGGGATTGTCCCTCGGGAAAAGCTGAGGGGAACCGGGTGTGTTTGGGATCATGCCAGGACAGAGAGGAAGCCTGAGAAGTCCACCCACCCAGCCAGCGTGCGCCCAGGGCAGTCTCATCAAAACAAAGCCAAGGTTGTGCCTGATGGAGGCCACAGCAGCAGAAGCAGAACAGAAAACGCAGAGACCAGGAAAGGAAGGAAGTTTCAGAAGATCAGTCAGTCACTTCCCTCCTGTCACAGAAAATTTGAGGCAACATTGCAAAAGAAATACCGTGGGCCGTTGAGAGCCCCAGACAACTTGGTGAGATCGGTGCTGTCTCTGTGTCCTCACCCCTTCGCCCTGGCTGGTCTTGGAGCTTGAGGCTGGTGCCGCCACGAGCCCAGGTCGTACTAGGGGACAGGAACAAGGAGCTTCCTGAATGCTGTGCTAGGTGCTTTAAGCTCTGGTTGAGTTTTCCGGACAAACCTGTGAAGTGGCGTCATGACATGGTTAAGTTCCCAAACCTTGGAGTTGGACATCCAGGGCTGACGCTCAGCCCCACCAGCTACTATTCTGTGGGTCTGGTTACTCGTCCTCTCTGAATCTGTTCTCCTGTTGTCCAGTGGGGGTGATAATAATACTTCACTGGGCTGTTGTGAGGATTAAATAAGTAAAATGTGTTATAGTGTTCAGCTTAGATCTTGGCCCGTGGAGGGGCCCAGCCAGTGTTTGTTGTGCGTATGTTCATCACCCCCATTGCTGAGGAAACTGAGGCTCAGGGAGGAGAACCAGCTTGCCCAGGGTTATCTTTCCAGAACAAGGCTTTATGACCACCACCCCAATGCTGGCCAGGCCTTTCAGACCTGGAGTTAAACCTGAATAGAAAATGGTCTATGAACTGCTCCAAGCAAACTTGACAAATTTATGAAGCAAAGATTCCTCCTCCAAGCACAGTGATTTGGCTGGATGGGGACCACCTGGACTATTTCAGAAGGTAGTGAGTTCCCAATCCCCAGAGATGTGTGCTAGGGCTTAGAAGGCCCTTTGCTGCCCCAAAGTTGGGGTTTCTATGCCCTCCTGCACCCCAGGATGACTGCTTGTGAGCCCTGGGATGTGTTGGGGAGACTGCGTTTCCTGGGCAAGGGGAAGTGTGGGCAGCAGTGACAGTCACCCCACTCAGCCAGTGCCTCTGGCTATAGGACTGGGTCTCTCTCCCACTCGTGTGGCTTATGGTCTGTGAAATCCACGTAACAGGGCCCAACACAGGACCCACACAAAGTGATGCTCAGCAAATAGCATCACCTGTGGTGATCGTCATCATTCTTTTCAGTGTGACTACACTTTTATATTCAGATGGGGAGACTAAGAACAGGGAAGGGGAAGTGACTGGCCCAAGGAGTCAGAGGCTCCTTATAATAGGATCTTAGTAATATCAGAGCAAAAGGCCAGGTATTGGGAGTGCTGAGTTCTAATTTCTCTTCTGCTCTTCTGTTCAACTGATGAATTTTTCCCTCCATCTGTCAGTGATGATACCCATGAAAGTTCAATCTCATTCTTTTCTCATTCTGGACCGACTGTACCAAAAAACTGGATCTTGTTTTAAAACTAAGCTTCAAATCAAATGATGATTCTTTGAAATCGACAAACCTTTAGCTATACAGAGCAAGGAAAGAGAGAAGGCTCAAATTACTAAAATCAGAAACAAAAGAGAGGTAATCCTAGCACTCTGGGAGGCTGAGGCAGGCAGATCACTCAAGGTCAGGAGTTCAAAACCAGCCTGAACAAGAAATTAATTGGCCAACTAAAAATATATAGAAAAAATTAGCCGGGCAGGGTGGCACATGCCTGTAGTCTCAGCTACTCGGGAGGCTGAGGCAGAAGGATTGCTTGAGCCCAGGAGCTTGAGGTTGCTGTGAGCTAGGCTGATGCCACGGCACCCTAGCCTGGGCAACAGAGTAAGACTCTGTCTCAAAAAAGAAACAAAAGAGAGGACATTCCTACCACCATTACAGAAATAAAAATTATCATAAGAGAATACTGGGCACAACTAAATGCCAACAAATTTGATAACTTGGATGAAAATGGACAAATTCATAGAAAGATAAGTTGTGGAACTATATTCAAGAAGAAATAGAAAATCTGAATAGACTAGTAAATAGTAAAGACATTGAATTAGAAATAAAAAAAAAAATCCCCACAAAGAGAAACTCAGGACCTGGTAACTTCACTGGTAAATTCTACCAAATATTTCAAGAATTAATACAAATTCTTCCAAAAAAATAGAAGAGAGGGAAACACATCCCAGCTCATTCTGTAAGGCCAATATTATCCTGATACCAAAACCAAGCAAAGACATCACAAGAAAGCTACAGATCAATATCCCTTATGAAGACAGATACAAAGATCAACAAAATACTGGCAAATGGAATTCAGCAGCATATGTAACAAAATGGATTATACACCATAGCAAAGTGGGATTCGTTCCAGCAATGCATGGTTGGTTTCACATCTGAAAATTAATTTATGTAACACACTATATTAATAGGATAAAGGCAAAAACCGCATGATCATTTCAATAGACTCTGAAGAAGCTTTGGACAAAATTCAATACCCCTTCATGATAAAAAACTCTCAACAAACTAGCACTGGAATAGAACTTCCCCAACATGGTAAAGGGCATCTATGAAAAACCCAAAGCTAACATACCTAATGGTGTAAGACTTAATGTTTCCCCCCTAAGATCAGGAATAAGACAAGATGTCTACTGTGGCCACTTCTGTTCAAAATTGTTCTGTAGGCGCTAGCCAGGCTTTCTATGCAAGAAAATGAAATTAAGCTATCCAAATTGGAAAGGAAAAAAGTAAAATTCTCTTTATTTGCAGTTGACATGATTTTGTATAGAAAATCCTAAAGAAAAACTATTAAAACTAAGAAATTAGTTCAGCAAGGCTGTAGGAGGCTGGGTGCGGTATGGCTCACACCTGTAATCCTAGCACTCTTGGAGGCCAAGGTGGGAGGATCACTCGAGGTCAAGAGTTCGAGACCAGTCTGAGCAAGAGCAAGACCCGGTCTCTACTAAAAATAGAAAAATTAGTGGGGTATTGTGGTAAGCACCTGTAGTCCCAGCTACTCTGGAGGCTGAACCAGGAGGATTGCTTGAGCCCAGGAGTTTGAGGTTGCTGTGAGCTATGATGACACCACTGCACTCTACACAGGGTGACAGAGCAAGACTCTGTCTCTAAATAAATAAATACATGTTGAAGGATACAAGATTAATATAGAAATATCAATTGTATTTCTGTACGCTGTAATGAACAATTCAAAAATGAAATTAAGAAAACAATTCCATTCACAATATCACAAAAAGAATAGAATATTTAGGAATAAATTTGACAAAAGTAATGTAAAACATATACTCTGAAAACTCCAAATATTGAGGAAAAAACCCTAAATAACTGGAAAGATATCTCATGTTCTTGGATCAGAAGACTTAATATTGTTAGTATGACAATACTCCTCAAATTGATCTACAGATTCAGTACAATCCCCATGAAATTTCTTTGCAGAAATTAACAAGTTGATCCTATAATTCAAAACCCCGGAAATCCAAGAAACCCAGAACACCAAAAAAAAGTTTGAAGGCTCACTCTTCCCAATATCAAACTTATTACAAAGCTATGTGCTGCTATAAGGATAGATATATAGATCAGTGTAATAGAATTGAGAGTCCAGAAATAAAAAATCTATGTCAATTGATTTTCAAAAAGGTTGCCAAGACCTTAATGTGGGAAAGAAGAGCCTTTTCAACAAATGGTCTTGGAACAACTGAATATTCACATCCTAAGAATGAAGTTGGATCCTTTCTTCGCACCTATACTCAAAAATTAATTCAAATTATATTAAATACCTAAATATAAAACTCATAGGAGTAAACATAGGCATAAGTCTTTGTGACTTGCATTAGGCAGTGATTTCTTAAATATGATACCCAAAGCATAAGCAATCAAAGAAAAAAATAGATAAACTGGACTTGATCAAAATTCATATCTATTGTGCTTTAAAGGATACTATCAAGAAAGTGAAAAACAACCTACAGAATGGGAAAAAATATTTGCAAATCATCTATCTGCTAAGGGGCTTATATCTAGATTATATAAAGAACTCTTGCAACCCCATAAAGATAACCCAATTGAAAAATGGACAAAGAGTCTGAATAGACCTTTCTCCAAAGAAGATATACAAATGAGCAGTACACATATGCAAAGATGTTCACCATCATTAGCCATGAAGGAAATGCAAATCAAAACCACAGTGAAATACCACTTCACACCCAGTAGGATGGTCATGATCAAAGGGACAGATAGTAGGAAGTATTGGTGAGGATGTGGAGAAACTGGAACCCTCATACACTGCTGTTGGGAATGTAAATGGCACAGTTGCTTGGGAAAACAATTTAGCAGTTCCTCAAAAGGGTTAAACAGAGTTACCATATGACCCTGTAATTCCAATCCTAGTTATAGTCCCAAGAGAAATGAAAACATGCTCTTACAAAAACTTGTACATGATTGGTTATTGCAGCAGAACTCTGTGAATGTACCAAAATCCTTTGAATTTTGTACACTTTAAATAGGTCAGTTGTATGGCATGTGAATTATATTTCAATAAAGCTATTGCATAAATATTTTTAATTTAGTTTGAGTAGGACTTGTAGGCCCTGTTGGGGAGGGGCAGGAACGAATCTCGAGCTATGGCTATGTGCTGCCAACATGTTCTGCACTTTGCATGAGTTACCTCGTTCAGTTTGTGGAATGAGACAGCCTCGATTTCTCAGTGAGGGAAAAAAGCACCTTTCAATAACTAAGGTCTAGGCTGGGTGTGGTGGCTCACGCCTGTAATCCTAGCACTCTGGGATGCCAAGGCAGGAGGATCGCTCAAGGTCAGGAGTTCGAAACCAGCCTGAACAAGAGGGAGATCCCATCTCTACTAAAAATTGAAAGAAATTAATTGAACAACTAAAAATATATAGAAAAAATTAGCTGGGCATGGTGGTGCATGCCTGTAGTCCCAGCTACTCAGGAGACTGAGGCAGAAGGATTGCTTGAGCCCAAGAGTTTGAGGTTGCTGTGAGCTAGGCTGACGCCATGGCATTCTAGCCCGGGCAACAGAGTAAGACTCTGTCTCAAAAAAAAAAATAACCAAAGTCTTTCAAGTTCAATGAGTAATCACCCAAAGATTCCAATTAAATTTAACAGTTTTTTGCCTCTACTGTTTTGGAAGTCCTATATTCTATTTCTATTCATTCCACAATTACCTCAGAAATTTTACATTACATATTTAACTTTAAGTCTGTTTTGGTATTTATGGAATGAGGGTTTTTCACAGAGATTTGTCCATTTCTAGAAATATACGTCACATTATATAACAAAGCTAGGTCTCCAGCAAAGGTCTGTAGACTTCCACTTCCTTTTTTTTTTTACCACATGATAGTTGCCCTTTAAGTAAATGCCCTCCTAGTACAGTGTTTTCAAACTATAGACCATGACCATAGTAAAAAATAATTTTTTGTTATAGTTCACTACACATATAAGCAATTCACAAAATATCAATGCTTACTAAGTGGGGTGCACTTTTATACTTTCTATTTCATGGTTTAAATTCTGGTCATGACACTAAACTGATTTTACAATCCATCAGTGGGTCACAACTTGCAGTTTGAAATACACTGACCTAGTGAACTCATTTGATCATTTCCTATTCCCTGTTACTAATTTTAGGATATGTCTACTTTTATCTCTTTGCAAGGAAAAATAGCCTCAATCGAGCTGTTTTGTTCATCTAGCTCATTATGAATTTTTCTGTGGTCTTTAGTCTTGGGCCAACCTTCAGTGCTACCTAGTTCCTTCCTATAAACCAAGCATGTATTGAGCTTTGTTTCTGACCACATGCAACCCAGCGTCAGGCACCAGCAGGCATGCAGGCAGATTAGAGCCCAGTTCTTAGAGAAGCGACACCGTGAAGCCTAAGCCTAGACAAGTACTCGACCAAGGTGTGGCAAGTGTGTAAGCTCCTTTGAGGCTCTGCGATCACAGTGAGGTCGGTGAAGGCTGCGGAAAGGACAGCTCTGAGTGGAGAAAGAGGGCAAGGGGGAAGGGGGCAAGGAGATGTTTGCAACTTATCTCAGCAGCAGTAGGAAGTCACTACAGTTAGGAGCCCAGATGAAGGTTTTAGGAAGATTAGTTCAGCAAATCTATTGAACATTCATTCAACACACTGTATTAAGCGCCTTCTATATTTTGGGCTCTGTTCTAGGCATTCTAGGTGCATCGGTGAACAGAACAGACAAGCATCCCTGCCCTCCTAGAGTTTATAATCCAGCAGCAGGATTAGGGGCTGAGGGAGTCAAGCTTATATTGCTCGTAAGCACTATAGTGTGTAGAAGGTGATAAGTGCCAAGAAGGAGGGTGGGGGAGACTGGGAGTGGCACACATGGGGCTGCATTCATGCATTCAGATGACTGCGGTGTGGGGACGAGGCTGAGCTCCTGCAGTGCCAGCGGGAGGGGCAGGGGGACAAGACGGTAGGGCTGTCCGCCTGATGCTCCTCTCTGCTCGTGTCCTTTCAGAAACACCATGCACAATATCCGGAGCAACAAGCAAGCCCAAGGAACAGGCCGTGGACCTCCAGGGGAAGAGTCTCCACAGAGCGGGGAGCCTCAGAGGGAGGAGCAGCCCTCAGCCCCTGACGCCAGCACCCCAGGTGAGCCAGTGTCCATTCTGAGCCGCCTTCAGAGACCAGCGCCTCACGGCTGCAATGAGTGCTTTCTCTCCTCCCTGCAAACCAGCATTTGTGTGTTTGTGTGTATCTTAGTCTACGGGCTGCTGTACCAAAACACTGTAGACTGTAGGGCTTAAATGACACACATTTGATTTTCACAGTTGCGTGGAGGCTGCAAGGTGCCGGCAGGTTTGGTGTCGAATGAGGGCTCTCTTCTAGGCTTGCAGTTGGCTGCCTTCTTGCTGTGTGCTCACGTGGCTGAAAGAAAGAGCTCTGGTCTCTTTTTCTCCTTCTGAGGGTGCTAATCCCATCGTGGGCTGCTGCAGCCTCATGACCTTATGTGAATCTGATCACCTCCCAAAGGCCCCCCCTCCTAATACCATCACGCTGGGGATTAGGGCTTCACCATGTGAATTTGGGAGAACACATTCAGCCTACAGCAGTGTGTCAAGATGAAACTCCAGGTCGCTCCTGGGTTTCCAGAGGTCTAGGAGCAGTGATTTCTTTTTTAATTGTGCTAAAATATACATAACAAAATTTACCATTTTGCCATTTTTAGTTGTCCAGTTCAGTGGCATTAAGTACATTCACACTGTTGTGCAGCCAGCACCACCATCCATCTCCAGAACTTTTTCATCTTTACAAACTGACACTCTTAGCAATGATTCTTTAAGAAATAAAAGAAAATATCTCTCATTTGTTCTTTCCTTCTTTCTTACTTTAAATATATATATGGAAAGGGTATACAAATGCCTTTCTGGGGTGATCAAGATCAGATCAGATCAGATCTGCCTGAAGACATAGAGCAAATGGCTTTTAGGTTGATATAGCATGTTATTGTTTCTTTTGTGATGCGTGAGTGACTTACACCATCAGGAGGTTGGCTTCTTTGGAATTGATATTGATACCCTTAGAACATATTTCAACTTAGAAACGGTTGGGAGAAAACTGTGAAGGCAGCACTCTGGGGTTTTCTTATGGAAGAGAGAACTCTATATAGAAATGGCTTTAGAAAAGGCAGCCCTTTGGAGCAGTCAGTGCCTGGGGAGGCCCCGAAAGGGCACAGTGAGCAGTCCAAGAGGAGGTCGGTACTGTAGCGGATTAATAATAATAATAATAATAAAACTAGACTTATGTAGCAGTTACTTTGTGCTAGGTTGCACTAAGCATTTTTTTTGGTAATAATTTTATTAAGATATAATGCATATATTATTTACCCATTTAAAATGTGCAATTCAGTGGCTTTCAGTATATCCACAGAGTCATGTAACCATTACTATAATCAATTTTAGAATATTTCTATTACCCCATAAGGAACCTGCATCCTTTAGCTATCAACCCCGAATGCTCACCTCCCATAACCCTAGGCAACCACTAAGCTACATTCTGTCTTACTTTCTGTCCTGTTCTGGACATTTGCTGTCTTTTGTGACTGGCTTCTTTCATTTAGCAGAATCTTTCCAAGTTTCATCTACACTCTCTAAGCACTTTCCCTACATTGAGCAGTTTAATCCTTATAGCAGCTGGAGCGGCAGATACTGTCATTATCCTTATTTGGTAAATGGGGAGACTGAGGCATGGAAAAGTGGAGTGACTTGCTTACAGCTCCACAGTAAGTGACAGAACCAGATTTGGGCCCAGCGGTCTGGCCTCATGCTGCTGCCTGAAGCCTCGTTTTCCAAGTCAGTGGTTTTTCAAATAATATCTTTATTGCCAGACCCTTGTCTCCCTTAAGAAACTCTAACATAGAAAGCAGATAAAAACAGAGTTGAGGCGAGGCTGAGTGTCTGGGCTCTTCCTCTCCTCCTCCCTCTCCACCTTCCCATCCAAGTCAGCCGGTGAGACACTCACACGAAATCCCAGGGTACTGACTGAAAACCACCAACTTAGGCCTCATTTTCTCCAACTGTAAAATGGGTGCAGTGATTCCCACCCCTGCCTGTCCTCAAGGATGTTGGACAGTAGTGTTATCAAAGGGCAGCAGAGCTCCAGGGAGTCTCCCTGCTCTCCTAGACCCCATAACAGGAAAGAGAAAGAGGCCTTGCATCCCTCTGAGCTCTGCAGTCTGCTTTGTACAGATTTCTCTTAGGTCTGGAACAAGACCATTCTGTTCTTGCACCCAGCAAGGTCAAGAAATGTCTGGTTCCTGTCATCTAGTGGAGTTCTTCATGTGTTCAAGACTGGCTGGCCCTTGGCCTGGTCTCATGCTAAGTCCTTCATCCCATCCCCCAGGCCCTGGGGTCCCATAGCACATCCTTCTTAACACCTTTAACACCTTAGTCCCAAAAGGATTGGTGATAGTTTACTAAAATACATGTTAGGGGAAAAATAAGTAAGTCATTTGGGTTGGAGAGTTATATAAAATCAAGATAAGATCCTACAGAATATCTGAAGGTAGGCAGCAAATGTGGCTGTGAGCTTCCCAGCAGCCAAGGCAAAGAGGGAAGTGCAAGAAGTTAGATTATTTCCAGTGTCCATATAACTAAAAACATATTTTCTTAGAAGAGGCAAAGCTTTTTCTAGCAGTGGGCTGAAGGGATTTCTCCTGCTATGGCTTTATAACAGGCATGATGTATATATGTCCCATGTGAACAAGCTTCTCCAGGTCCCTTGACCACATAATGTCCCTTGATGTAGGCTGATGGCAGAGCCTTAAAGCACAGGCTGGGGTCAGGGCAGGAAAAGGCAGCCCAAGGGAGTGATTCTCTGATGTTGGATTTGATTTAAGAATAAAATTTAGTGACTTGTAAACAGTGGTCAGCAGAAGTTTTCTATAAAGAACTAGATAGTGAGTATTTGAGGCTTTGTGGGTCACAGGGTCTCTATTGCAAGTACTCAGCTCTGCCTTTGAGGAGTGAAAGCAGCCACAGACAACACATAAACAAATGGCATGTCTGTGTTCTAATAAAACTTTATTTATAAAAGCAGGCTGTGGGCCGGATTTGACATGTAAACCATAGGTTGCTGACCCTTGCTCTAGAAGAAATATTAATAAAAGGACTGTGCATCCTTGAGGTAATCAACTGTGGAAATATGTCTCCTAACTTATCTTGGAATAAGAATCAAGTAAGAGTTTGAGCTGCTCTCTGGAGCAAGAAGGCAGAGTTTTCATTCTGTGTTTCTAGCAACAGGCAGATCTATGTGCTTTGAAAATCTCTCAGTGAATAGAGGTGGGATCTTACCATGTATATGACATCCTGCCAGGGCTTGTGCCTATGGAGAAGGCTATCTGGCAAACAGCAGCAGAGTAGTATGAGACAGATCCATGCAGCTTGGGATCTGAGGGGAGACAGGCACAGGTTAGCAAATGGGTTAAATGACTCGACCAGCACTGTGTAAATAATGCTGCCTTTTAATAAGCCCTCCAGGTGCTTCTGAAGCAAGCTCAAGTTTAAGAACTACAAATGTCATCAGTCCTAACCTCTATGTTTCTCCTCTGAGCAGTGAGAGAGCCAGCAGATTCTCCAAAGTCTGCACCCAAGTCTTCTCTGACCACCAACCTCATTCAGAAAGCCAAGCGCCAGAACAACACCTTCCCGCTCTTTTCCGAAGGACTCACGCGGAACCGAACTGCCCAGGAGAAAGTGGTGGCCTTGGAGCAACAGGTTCTGATGCTCACCAAGGAGTTAAAGTCTCAGAAGGTGAGCTCTGGCCCCAGGGAGGCTGCAGGCTCCAGGGGACCCCTCCAGACCTGGAGGCTTTTGGGCAAGCCAGACAGGACGCATTGCATTAGTCCATTGGCCCGGCTGGGCACCAGCAAGGCTGTGGTCTTTAAAGGCCAAACACATTTCCAACTGATTGGAAATGTGCTGTTGATTACTCAGGAACATGCTGTCATTCAAACTAGGTGACAAAAGGCCACCAAGGGCAGGTGTCTCTGGAGACCTACTTTAGTAATTGTCTCTCAGACTCCTCCTGGAGGGCCACACATGGTCTCAGCCCACACCCGAAGGAGGAATGTATTTGGAAGGGGTGACCTGGAGGCAGGGTCACAGGAGGGGCCGCTGACAGAACTGGGGGATCTTTGACCTGGCAGCTGATAGCTGGGTACAGATACCTGAAGGACTGTCACAGGACAAAGAAAACAGGCAGTGTCTGTGTGGCCCCTGGGCTGAGCTGAACCAAGACAGAACAGTGAAAGGGAGGAAGATTTAGCTTAATATAGCAAGAAATTAATTACTGGAGTTACAAAAAGAAAAGAGTTGCATTGTCATTGTAGAAAACAGATCTCACACATGGACATTAAAATTGTTCAAAAATCCTATAACCTAGAAAGTGAGTCCTGTTAAAATCCAGGGGCTACTCATAAACTAGGGACAGTCAGGAGACAGGGATGCCAGGGGCTGAGTACTCTCTTTTGCATAATAAAAGCTCTTAAGTGTGTACCATAGTTACCATAGATCCCAAGGACATGGCCTGGGAGTGGCGGGCTCCGTTTCCTCTGAGCAGAAGGCCTGAGCAATTATGTTTGCACTTGGGCTCCCCAGCGTCCACCTGCTCTCTGACCCTAGCTCCAAAGGTCCTAGGCTAGGGAGGTGGGGTGTGTACTCTATTTACTTCTGAATATTTATTCTCCTCCTAGTACGTTTCTTTTCCTTTCTGCCCTGTTGGTGAAGACAGCCCAGAACAATGCTCTCTCTACCTAGTTTTGTCCCTTCTCTGCCATTCCTGCCCCGAAGAAGCACTGACCACTGTTAGCTGGTCTCAGGGGAACCGGCAGAGACTTCAGTCCTGGCAGGTCTGGGGTTGCATTGAATGAAGCAACTGGTGATTAGGGTTCTCAAAGGAGGGTACTCACTCCTTCCTACACTCGCAATCCATGTGTTTATTCACCAAGTACTTATTTATTTATTTTTAGAGAAGCGATCTCACTCTGTCACCTGGGCTGGAGTGCAGTGGCACGCTCATAGCTCCCTACAGTTTGGAACTCCGGGGCTCAAGCCATCCTCCCTGTTAGGGTGGAAAGGCTGGTAGGTGCTCACTGCGCGGGTGGAGAAAGCTCTCTCACAGCAATTAAGATAGAAAAGTAAAATGTATTTTATCTTCTTAGGAGAAGGAGAAAGAGGAAAGAGAGAAGGGGGGAAGAGAGCAGGGAGATGGTGTGACACCCCAAAGAAAGAGAAGGGGGTGCAAGCAGTGAGGCCTCCCTGATTTCAAGGGGGTTGAAGAGAGAAAAAAATAGTTCTGGCTCGTGCTGGCTGTCAGCTGATAACAGACGTAGGGGGCAGCAGGTTGATAACAAAAACCACAAGGATGTCAAAGTGTAAGACTTGGTTTCCTGCCTTTTGGAGACAGGATCATCACGGGAGATGTGACTCTGTCCTCGAGATATGGTTGAGGCTGTAGCTTGTTCTTCGCCTGTTTACGCAGGAACTCTATAAAAGCAGATTCTCAGAAAAACAATTTTGAAAAAAGAGATTTACATATCTTTTCCGTACATTCAGCTCCTTTCGCAGTTGTGCAAAACAGAACTCCTGCAGGATGCCTGTTAGTGAGAGAACTCACAGGATTGATCTGTAACTGCTACTGGGGAAATTGTAGGATTAGGTATTTTCCTGTTATTTTTGCAGGGCTGTCCCTTTCGCTCCCACCTCAGCCTCCCAAAGCACCAGGATTCTAGGCGTGAGCCACCATGCCCAGCCAGCTGGGTCTCTATTACGGTTGTGTTGTGTGCATTCGGTGTGCTGGGTGCTGGAAAGAACAGTGAGCATGAGGCACAGGCCTCACCGCGCTCACCTTTCAGGGCAGAGACAGGCACTAAGCAAATCGACACCCAGATGTGTGATTACACATGAAGTCCCTGTCGTGCCACTCAGCAGCCCTGTTCCTGTTGGCATTTTAGTGTTCCTGTCGGGGGCTGCCGGACGCCCCTGAAAGCTGAGAGGGCGTTAACTGAGCCAGAGCAGCCGCCTGGGCCCTGGACTAGTGTAGCTTCAATCCCAACCCAAACCCAGAAAGAGAAAGAAATCCTCTTGTAAACATGGCCATTCTTTCTAGAGTATATGGGCAGCCTCCCTTGACTCGCCATTCTCCCTGAGGCATTATGAATCTCAAAGGAAGTAGAATACTCATGGGAGACCTAGATTCCGTTTAGGTTTGCCCCAAGTGCCTTTCGCCCCTGGAGGACTCGCTGTTCTCCAGTGAATGAAGGTGGGACTCTGGGAGATTAATAAGGGTCGCCCAGGCCGTTGGCAGCCCCTGTACATTCAGAGCAAAAATGTCAGGAGAAAGTTGTGCCAGCATTAAAGAATCTGGATTTTTTTTTTAAATCAGTTTACTGTAAAGTTTTAATCAGTTTACTGTAAAGTAAACTCAGCTCTGCGTCCTGGGGCCAATGGTCTAGAGGAGAACGAGTCTCAGTCTCGTGATTTGCATACCAGGATGCACCTCAGTCTTCAGGGTGACTCAGAGCATAGGCCCAAATCCTGGCCCTGAGCAAGTTTCTTAACTTCTGTAACCCTCAGTTTCCTCTTCTGCAAATGGAGTTACAGCCGTGTTTACTGGAGAGGCCTGTGCCCAGACTCAGAAAGCCAGTGCCCGGCACCCAGCCGCAGCCCACAGGGTGCAGGCTCTAGTGATGCGGCTGTCCCTGTGGCGTTCCCCACCCTCACGTCCACCCCTCCTGCCTTCCGGGGGGCTCTGAGGCGATAGGGAAGGAGCCCGGCAGTGCCTCCAGCAGCTGTCCTCCTGGGGCCAGAGCAGTGACAGGGCAGCTCAGGTCTGCATTCCACCTTAGGAAGAGGGGAACCCCGGCCGCCTAACTCTAGGCTTTCACCTGTAGCCCAGATACCCAAACTAAAGAAGGAAGGAGAAAAGGAGACTGACTCTTGGTCCAGACGTGGGACAGAGGGAGCCAGGACAGCCTCTGGGTCCCCATTGGTGCCCCAGGCACTCAGAAATGCTGCTCGGAAAGCCACTGTCCATCTGAGACCCTCAGAGTCCAGGTCATCCACTGGGGGAGTGGCCCCCTGGACTCCCAGGGCTACATGTGCAGGACGCCTCCGTGTGTCTCTTTAGTAGGAAGGTACCTTCTTGCTCCCCTGAGCTTCAGGAGGATGTGGGAATTCCATTGCCAATGGCTGTGGTGACCCTTTAAAATTTGTTATCTCAAACTCTGTTCGATGCTGTTGAGGGTGCCCTGGGGCTAAATCCATCCTCGGGGACCTCAGCGTCCAGAGGGGAAGAAAAGACAGGAGCACAGGAGCTGCGAGGCCGCAGCATGGCCCAGCGCTGCGCAGAGACTTTCGGCGCGTTTTCTCTAGTCCTTACAGCGGTTGTCATCCCCCTTCCCTGAAGAAGAAACTGAGGTTCTGAGAGCTCCTGCATTCCCTGGTCTCCCAGGGGCTGAGCCAGGGTTTGAGGGGGTGACTTGCCCGTGGGCACAGGAGACTGGGGCCCTGGTCTCCTCTGTTGCCTCTCCCCGTGATGTCAGGGCGAGGGCTAGTAGCAGACACAGGCACCAGAACTGCTCTTTAGAAAAACGTGTGTGCACCACTCGCTGTGCCTCCCTGCTGTCATATCAAACCGCAGGACAACTCTGATACCCATTAGGCATCCTCTCTCCCGGCACCTGCAGCACCGGCCCCACAGGAGATTTGGACTCCAGGACAGAGCACCAGATGGCTGATTGGCTGGGTGACTCAGACCCTCAGTTGACAAAGTGGCACCAGCCTGGAGACCGTCTGCCCTGGCAGATGGAAGGCTGTTGTCCGTGGTGCTGTTGGCCATCTGGTGGCTGCCGGAACGATGAGCCCCTCCGGGACCCTGCCTGGGGCCCTCTGGGGCCACCCTAGCACGATCAGGATTACTGAGGAAAGGCAAGTCATGTGTCTGGGAAACTTGGTGGGGGCAATGTGTGGCCTCCCCATTCCCGAGAACACCGCCAGAGACTTCCCAGTGTATGTCCCCGGCCCTGAGCCTGACCCCAGGGAGGGAGGTTGGGAGGGCCCTGGCCCTTTCAGCCTGGGGAAGGACTGTGGGCACACGTCTCTGTGTGGAGGTAGGCCTTTATACCCTTTTTAATTACGAGTAATGTGAGGTTCAGTGAAGTGACGAGCCTGAGGCCACCCTCTTAGATACAGCCCTTAGGACCTAAGGGCTGTGCCACTCCAAAGCCAGAACATAATGTCCACAAGGTTCATCCATGCTCCTTCTTAAGGCTTAATACTATTCTATTGTATGTATATCCACATCTTTTTTATCCATTCCTTGGTCAGTGGACATTTGGGTTGTTTCCACCTCTTTGGTGTTGTGAATAATGCTGCTATAAACATAAGTTATTTCCATTTTTAAAAAGAAACTGAAAATCCATGAACCACACAGCATGGGGAAGCGAAAGGATCCTAGATGAGGAGTTGGGCACCGTCTGCTGGAGTCCAATTTTCCCACATGAGCCACTGGCTCCCTTTAGTCCCCCCACTTCTCCTCCCTTGGGCTTCAGGCTCCCCATGTGACAGCAAGGGACTGGACCAGAAGGTCCCCCAGGGCCTTTCCGGCCTCTAGGCTTCGGGAATCCCTAATCCATTCCCACTCCTCTCTCCCCCTGCTAAGGCGCCCTCCCCTTCCCTGGCGCTCTCCCCAGCCTGTCTCCTGTGTTTCTGGGGGTGGGCGGTTCTGGGGGCGGGTGGGGAGCCTCCTGGGCTGGCATCTTGCTCTGGGGTTTTGAGAGCCAGAGGGGGAAAGAAAGAGAAAGGAAGTGAAATGAGCTTTCTCTGGGGGAAAGATATCCACGCGGTTCTGCTCCTAGGGTGAGTCTGAACAGTCGTTTCTCTTGGTTATTTCACCGGGCAGTGACCCAAGGTAATCTCCAAATCTCAGAAAATGGCCTAGGCTCTGGTCATCCTGGAGCCACAGGAATGTTAATCTCTCTCAGCTGAGCCCTGCAAAGCTCATTCCAAACATTCCAGACTTGTTCCTTTGGTTTGCACTCACAGTCCTGTCCCCACCCCACCTGCCTGCCACATCCCAGGGCTCCCACAGTGCTGCACTAGCCAGTCCCTTCCAGATCTTTGCTGGGGCTGTTGGTGCTGAGTCTGGAAGCCCCCGACCCTTCACCTCCTGCTGCTTGACCGTCTCTGGCCCTTCTGCCTTCATGGCTTAGTCTAAACCGCTCTGCCTTTCTGCAGAGTGTACTGGTCACACACCCCAGGCAGAAGTCGGTGTTCCCCCACTCCGGGCCCCCACAAACACCCTTGCTCCCCACTCTTGCAGTAAATCATTCTATTGCTGTGAGTCACCTTTGCTCCCACCAGGCCTTGTAGTCCTCGGAGGCAGGAACTGTGGCCAGTCCCTCTCTGGGCCCAGCACCTGGCACAGGGCCTGGCACTGAGTGGGTGCTTGATAAAGTTTGGACGGGTGGGTGGGTGAGTGGGTGGAAAAGAGGACCAGAGAAGGGACAATCACTGGTACCCAGGTTTCAGAAGATGCATGCCAACGTGGTCTTGTCATTTGCTTCTCAAATAAAGTCATGATTTTTGACAGTTCTCCAAAATGGAATTGTTCTTAGCAAATAACCCTATCCAGCTGATCCGTTCATTTAAAATGCTTTGGCATGGTGCAGTCGACATGCCTTTAGGAAACCATGTATTTCCAGATGAGACTGGCACAGCGCAGGGCAAGGTGGCCTCAGAGCACCTCCTGCCTGGGGTGATCTGATCCTGCCCCTGAATGAATTCACACCTGTGCTGTGGGGCAGGACAGGCCTGAGTTCTGGGGAGATTAGAGGCTTGAAGGCACAGGGCGCTGAGCAGACCTTGAGTTTCCACTGGGATCAGTTGCCCCCACAAGGGAAAAATTCATGTCTTGTTGCTGAGCTTTCTGGCGCTTCCTTCCGCCAGCCTCGCAGGCATCATTTGGCGGCCGAGGGGGCTGGGGACAGACAGACTGAGTGAGGCTGTGTGTGTGGCGGTGCATGGGGACTGCCAGAGTATCACCTCTCTAACGCTGCCTCAACTCGATTGGTCGTGACTGTTTGGATGCTATGTTGAGAAGGATTCTGAGGCCTCAACTAGGCTTCGCAGGGAGTGTGGAGATTAACTAGTAATGTCTGCCACAGGGGTGAGAGGAAAGGCCACGTAGCTTCCACTCTGGTTTTGTCACTGACCAAGCACAGGCTTCGGAATCTGGATAACTGGGATTGAATTCCACTGTACTCTGCCGGGCCTCAATTTGTTCAATCCTGAAATGGACATGTACACATCAGGGTATGGGCTCAGCTGCAGTAACAAAGAAGTCTCATAACACCATGGCCTAAAACAAGTGAGAAGTTTATTTCTCTCTCACGTTAAAGAATCCCGAGGTAGGTGGGCAACTCTGCATTCCTCAACATGGAACTTCTGCTTGTGGGTCCAAGGTGGCTAGTTCTTGCCACTTCCCAGCCAGAAGCAAAGGGAACTGGACCAGGGGAATGTGGGTCTGGTGGTTTTAAAGCTGCCCCCATCCCTTTTCATTTCCCATTTAGGCAGAGTAGTCACTTGGCCACACGCAGCTGTGACTGGCTGGGAAATGGAGTCTTAGGCTGGGGACCAGGGTCCCGGCTGACACCCCCTTGAACAGAGAAGGGAAAAGTGAGTGTTGGGATGAGGTGCCCAGGTGCCACTGGGCACCTCTCAGGGTGGCCGGGAGAACTGGAGATGACACACGCCCCGCCTCTGGCGTCTAAGGGACCTTCCCCACGCTCACTAGATGCATCCCTGTCCCCGCCCAGGAGCTGGTGCAGATCCTGCACAAGGCGCTGGAGGCCGCCCAGCAGGAGAAGAGGGCGTCCAGCGCGTACCTGGCGGCGGCCGAGGACAAGGACCGGCTGGAGCTGGTGCGACACAAAGTGCGGCAGATCGCGGAGCTGAGCGGGCGGGTGGAGGCGCTGGAGCACGAGCGGGAGCGCCTGGCGCACACGGCGGGCCTGCGCGAGCAGCAGGTGCAGGAGCTGCAGCAGCACGTGCAGCTGCTCATGGACAAGAACCAGGCCAAGCAGCAGGTCATCTGCCAGCTCTCTGAGAAGGTCACCCAGGACTTCATACGCCTCCCTGACGAGCCCACCGTCCCCCCTGACGCCGCGGACAGGGACTTCCTGAGCCAGCAGGAGAGGCTGGAGCACCTAAAGGTAGGGGCCCTACCCTGGGCCTCGGGGAGGGCGTGCTCTCCGCCCGCAGGCTCTCTAGGTGGCGTGAGCATGGCCCTTCATCCTGGAGGATTCGCGGTGGGCTGCGGTGTTGGTGGAAGCACTACTCTACGCTTCCTCACGTGCTTCGCCAGGTACCCAGCGCGGTTTGACCTTCATGTCCTGGGCTGATGAAAAGCGATGGTGTCTCTAGATTATCAAATTAGAGATGGAAGAGCCCAAGACCAGCTGAGTCTGGGGCCTGGCCCGGTCAGCCGCCTTTACTGCCATCCTGATGCCCCCACCACCCCAAGTGCCAGGGCAGCCCCTGCCCCCCAGCAGTCCTGCACACAGTGCCGGTGACCTGCAGCTGGCTGGGGCTTGCTCACGGCGACGGCAGTAGTTGCTGCTCCCATTTATAGAGCGTGGGGAATGCTTACTGCGTGCCAGGCCCTGTCCTCAGTGCTCCACTTGTGTCATCTCCTTTAGTTCTTGCTCCAGCCCTAGCAGGCAGTCACTTGTATGCACCCCACTTTACAGATACAAATTTTGAGGCTGGGAAAGGTTAAGGACCTTGCCCAGGGTCACATGCTGAGGAAGTGGGGAGCTGGAATTGGGGGGGCTCATATCCACTGACCAGTCTGCCTGCTCTGCTGCCTCTCCTAGCTACTGCCACCATCCCCTCCTCCCCGTCCTTCCCCCGTCCCTGTCTCTCCCCAGGCTGCCGCGTCTAACAGGGACCAGTGGCACCACAGGGGCAGGAACTTTATTTGAGGTGTGTCGCCTGCCGTGGGCTGCAGCCTCCTCTCTAGACGATGCCGACAGGAGCTGACCCACCTGGAGGCTGGGGCTGGGGAGGGTGCTTCCTGCCCCCACTCGGCCTAAAGGAGCCATGTGACCAGGGCAGTCCTGCCCTAGACCCTGCCACTCAGAGCCACGTGTGTGCAAGTCATGCACTGCACAATGATGTTTTGGTCAGTGAGATTACAAAGCAGCTGTAAAGTTCCTGTCACCCATTGTAACATTGTAGCATACACGCTGCCCTTTCTATGTTTAGATATGTTTAGATGCACAAACACCACTGCGTTACAGTTGTGTATGGTATTCAGGACAGGGACACGCTGGACAGGGCGGTAGCCTAGGAGCAGTAGGCTACACCACATAGCCCAGGTGTGCAGTGGGCTACACCACTAGGTCTGTGTAAGTCCACTCCATGATGTTTGCACAACAACAAAATTGGCCAATGGTGCATTTCTCAGAGCAGGTCCCTGTCATTAAGCCACGCGTGACCGTCCATGTGTATGTACAACCTTGGGAACTCCCGTGCTGCATATCAAGGAACTGCTGCGTGGGGGAAGGTGGAGAAAGAAAAGAAAAAAGAAATCAGGACGCTTTGGGGAGAAAAGCTCTCAGCAGGTAGCACTGACCAGTAGCCACTGTCCAAGCTGTGAAGTCAGACAAGCTTTTGTCTTACTAGCTGTGTGACCCTGGGCAAGTCACCTCACCTCTCTATAAAAGGGCCCAACCTGTCCTGCCTCACAGAGTTGTTAGAAGGATAAAGGAAGAGGACATGAAACCCAGGTCCCCTTCCTTTTGTTTCAGCAAACACTGAAAAAACCACATAACCAGTTGCTGAATCTTTTCCCTTATTTAGTCTGAAATCAGAGATTCTGTAGGGTTAAAACAAAACCCAACGTTTCAAATGCAGATGCAGCTAGGTGTTGTTGGAGAGCCACCAGTCCTCCCACAGCGGGCAGTGGGCACTGCTTCCCGCCCTGTCCTGCCCCAGCCGAGAGCCTTGCTCCTCTCTCCGCCCTTCCTGCTGGAGTCCACTATTCAAGACCCAGTAGAGTGGCCAGGATGTAGAGGTCAGAGCAATAGGTCAGCTGGGTGGCCCCAGACTGCCCAGAGAGCTGAGTGTAATCATGGGCTCACCTTGGAGACTGAGTGTGTCCCTGAATTTACATATTCAGGAATTTATAACATTTTATCAGCAAAGCCAGATGCGAGGAGACTCCGGGTATGGATTCACATTAGCCAAACACACATTTCCACATTCTCCTCGGAGGCCCAGTGTTTTATGCTTAGAAGAGTTGTATGTACTTGGTGTTCCTTATTTTCTAGCTTTTAGAAGACCCATCAAATGTCCACTGTCTTTAAGTTTGGAGAGAGAGTGCTCACGTTTCTCGCTTGCCCTGTGATTGAGGACACTCAACTTTAGGGAAATGCCCCCTTGTTACTGAGACTGTTGTTTCAGAAATAGGATCATTGACCTCTTTGAATGTCAAGGCTGGGAAGACTGGGAAATCTCATCTGCCCCTCATTTTCTGGCAGGGACAGCTGAGTTGGGGGGAGGGGAAGGACTGACCCAGGGCCAGGCAGCACAGCGGCAGGGCTGCAGCTACTGCCGGGCCTCCCACGCCAGGCCACTGCCTTCCACACTGGAGCACAGGGCCGCGTCCACGGGCATGTCCCAGAGAATGCCAGGTTCCTGATCCCTGCAAAGGCAGGCAGGCAGGCTCTCCTCTCGCCTGTCCCCCTTCTCTGCTGTGTTTTCCTTTTTATTGTTCCACTGGTGACTGTCATGTGTCTTTTCTCTTCTCTGAGGTTTCTCTTTTTCCTCCCTACAGTTCTGAGCCACGAAGAGCACTCAAGGTAGGGCAATGAGCTGAATGGGAAGGGGACGCTCGCACTCGTTTCCCTGTCTGATGTGTCTGTGCCTTCCCTGGGGCTGAGGCAGGGCACCTTATGTGACAGAGCCTTCTTTCCAAAGCCCTGGCAATACCCGAGAGCCACTTCCAGGCCTGTGTGGTAACGAGGAGGCAGGACCCGAGGTGTCTGGCCGTGTCCAGTGCTGGAGTCGGGCTGCTGTGGCTCAGCGGCCTTTGGAGAGCACCAGCCGCGGGCGCACACCTGGCTTCGGATCCTGGCTCCCTGCCAGTCCGGACCGAGGGGACGTTACCGTCTCTGGGTTTGTTTCCTCATCTGTAGAATGGGAATTGTAGTCCTTTACTTCTTATCCACAGCACGGCGGCAAAGAGCAAATTAAACAAAATAAGGGATGGATGCCAGGGTGCTGGGCCTGGCTCACAGGAGGAACTCAGGTAAAGGCAGATCCTTCCCTCCCTTCCCTCGGAGCTCGCTGCATTCTCCCAGGCTCGGGAAGAGTCCGCAGCAGCAGCAGCAGTAGGGGAAATGGCCTGGAGGGACAGCATGGGACACGGGTGCTCTCAAGCTGTCGGAGAGCTCAGTGAGGGAGAGGACAGGCACGCTGCACTTGCCACATGCCGGCCACCTTCTAACCCTTTTTTGCATATATTAATAAGTGACTCCCCCAGCAACCCCTTGATGTTGTGCTGCTATCGTCCTCATTTTCCAGATGAAGATTGAGGCACAGAAAGGTGAAGCGACTTGTCCAGAGGCCCAGTGGTTAAGACAGGGTTTGCAGCACGGCCCCAGCGTCCCAGCCCCGACCTATAGGCAGTGCCCGAGTTTTCGATGTGTTGTTATCCGACTGCCTGCCAAGTGGGAGAGGACACACAAGCCCACATGCCTTCAGCCAGGAGGCTTCAAAGGACACCCCTTGAACGGTGGGGACTAGAGTTTGGCATCCAGGTGTGCTTTAGCTGCAAGGGAGCTCAGAGGGTGCCGGGCAGGAAGTCCTGGTTGGGGCTTCAGACGCAAACAGACGGGGCTCAGTCGCACTCTGCTTCTGCTGCTGTGTGGCGGTGGGCAAGTTGCTTCCCCTTTCAGAGCCCCTGAGACCACATCGGTGTTCCCAAGAGCCATGAAAGGGCATTCCTTCGGGGTTGCTGGGAGGATTACACGAGATAACGTGCTCAGTGTGGTGGTGTCATAGGGTCACGCCAAGGTGATGCGGGGAGCCTCCCAGCCTCTGTGCTTGTAAATTTCTAAATCTCCAGACACTAGAATATAGGTCTGACCTGGGAGCAGGGAGTGGCCCTGGACCGCAAGAGGTTGGTCCTTGTAGCGCCAACGTGAGAATTCTCCCCAGTCTCCCCGGCCCTGCCACATAAGCACAAGGAAATGGGAGTGCTGGGGGAAACAGGCAGAAACTTGCCCAGAAGAGCAGCTGGCACACACGGGGCAGCATTTCTGAGAGGCAGAGAGCCTGGGTTTTGATCAGGGGCGTGGTTGGAGAAGAGGGGGACAGGGCCAGGGAGCTGGAACTGCCTGGGTGCAGCCAGGAGAGAGCAGGAGGCACGCTCAGCTGGAGCACAGCCTCTCGGCCTAGGCACCACGGCAGCCCCGGTGCGCGGTGAGAGGCCACGGGATGAGGTCAGCCTGGGCTGTTCACTTCCAGCCGCAGGAGCCCTGGGAACGGGCCCTCCCAGCAGGCCAGCGGCTCCGTGGAGGGCGGCAGACCCTGGGCATGCGTTGGAGCTTCTGGGCTGGGAGGACCTTGGAGATCATCTTGGCCAGAGTGAAGGCCCACCCAGGGAGGGCCAGGACCACCTGTGGGCTGTGCGCACAGGGTGTGATGTTCTGCGGTTCCAGATAGTCAGGGCCTGTCTGAGGTCATGCCTGCTGCAGTACTTGCACTCACCTACAGCCCAGTACGTTTTGCAGAGTAGGAGAGAAAGGGGTGACGTTTCAGCCAGCAGATACCCCAGAATCATTCGCTATAGCTGCGAGCATGTGTCGTGTGACTGAATGGCTTCCGTAGTCTCCATCCCAGAAGAGTAAAGATTGAGAGCTCTTGTTGTAGCTGATCCTTCTCTGAGGCTCAAGCACCTTCCCAGTGCTTGTCCAGCTTCTCCTTGTATGCCCCAGCAGCAGGCAGCTCACTCCCTGTACCAGACATCTTGCAAAGGGAAAACTCGGAGACGTTCATCACAGCATTATTTATAATTAAAATCCAACCAAAAATACCCAGGGCTCAAATTTAAAAAGCAATAGGAAAAGGATTATAGGTAAGTTATGGCAAATTCGCCCAGTAGAATTATTCTCAGACATTAGAAAAGATCATTGGGAAACTTATGTGGTAACATAGAGTATTTATAAAGTGACACTAAGTAAAAAAAATGTCCACAGTATGATTGTAAATATATGATAAAATGGATTAAATTTAAAAACAAACACTACTTAAGCACTTGCTGTTTTAGTCCTAATACTTAGTATTATCTCATTTACTCTCCCAGCTATCCAGTAGGGGACTTGGTACTTCTCCCTTTTACAGATGAGGAAACAGAGGGTCAGAGTGGTTCAGTGTCCCGCCTGCGTCCTCCCAGCCAGGATGTCAGAGCCAGGGCTTGAAGTCAGGCCTAGCACTCTCTCCACCATATCATGCCAGCATCAGGAATAGAGAGGGGGCCAGGGGTAATCTGTTTCTGTCAGACTTCCTTTTCTGTTGCCTTTATTGGAAATTTCTAAAGAAAGGAGTCTTTGGAACTCCTTTGAGGGTGTGATCCCCTCAGACCAGGGAGGTGTTCATGGTACAACTCATAAGATGCCGTGCTCTCTTCTGCAGGATGACATGGAAGCCTACCGGACCCAGAACCGCTTCCTGAACTCTGAGATCCACCAGGTCACCAAGATCTGGAGGAAGGTGGCGGAGAAGGAGAAGGCCCTCCTGATGAAGGTGTGAGTCGGGAGCCCTGTTGGGGCCGTCTGCGTTCCCGGCCACCCTCCTGGTCGCACACTGCCCGCCCCCATCTCACTGTCCTCATCACCTGTCTGCGCTCCCTCTGGACTGAGCCCCGCGGGAGCAGGGCCCGTGTCAGGTTCCCCTGCGGAGCCCTGTGGCCTGGCCGATTGGGCCATCTGATCGGCAGTGTTCACAGGGCAGCGTTCGCTCGGCAGCTGTGGGCGTGGAGACCAGTAAGCCCGGTTCCTGCCCGCAAGGAGGGAGCAGACCAGTGAGGGAGTCGAACATGAGCAAGATGAATAGGGCTCATGGGATTCCTGGGAGCCCCTGGGGAGGAAGGAAAGTCAGGGAGGGCTTCCTGGAGGAGGTGCCTTCTGAGTTAAGTCCTGCGAGTTAGTGTTATCCAGGCAACCCGTGGAGAAAGGCCTTGCAGAAAGAGAGACAGCGGACTGAGCCGGGAGAGCAGGGCTGGGGAGGGTGCGACATGAGGCTGGAGCCGAGGAGTTTGGAGCGAACTCCGAGGAAACTGGGGACTTGTTGAAGGATGGTTGGAACCAGGCAGGACAGAGGATGGCTTGGAGTTGGTGACCTGGGCAGGGTACAGCAGAATTGCAGCCTTGCCCCCGAGGTCCCCCGACCCCCACCACCCTGGGATGAGACAAGGGCCAGGGTGGCCCAGGGGTCATTGAGCAAATTTTTACTGTCCCCATCTCACAGAGATGGAAAACAGGGAGGTGGCCTGACCTGCCTAGCAGCATCCGGCTTGTATAAATAGAAGCACAGAAGTTCTAGGGAAGGGGACGTGCAGTGGGGACCGTCCCAGGCAAGGGAAGAGGGTGGGCGCATGAAGGCCGTGAAATGGGAGGGACGTGATGTGTTAGAGGAACAGAAAGAGCCCACACAGTGGCAGCAGAGGGCACAAGGGTAGTGTCTGTCCCCTGGGCAAGAGCTCGGTCATGCTACCCACAGAGAGTTTGCTCTGTGCCAGCTGCCCTGGGAAGAGCTTTTATGTATCAGCTTTTCTGACCTTTACCAGAATCCTGGGGCAGACTCCCTGTTAGCCCCATTTTACAGATGGATGTACCAAGTCACAGAGTGGTTGAGTAACTTGCCACAGGCCACACAGCTAGCCATGGCTGAACCAGAATGGTACTGTAGGCCATGCAAGAGCCTGTACTGTCCCTGTGCACCCTTCCCTTCTTTCTTCTGAACCAGCTCCAGCCCTGGGCCTGGTCCCCTCCTGCCCACCTTGCTTGAAACCTCCGGATTCAGGGTCCATGTCCCTACCCTGTACAAAGCTGTGCGATTTGGGAGTGGGGCACACGAGGGCAGTGCTGCCCTAAAGCTGTGGGGCAGCCCTGGCCCGGCCAGGCCTGACCAGCCGCGCCTCTCGCTCTTGCAGTGCGCCTACCTGCAAGCCAGGAACTGCCAGGTGGAGAGCAAGTACCTGGCGGGGCTGCGGAGGCTGCAGGAGGCCGTGGGGGACGAGGCCGGCGAGTGCGCGGAGCTGCTGAGGCAGCTCACCCAGGAGGCACTGCAGTGGGAGGCCAGCGAGGCCGCCGAGGGCGTGGAAGTGAGCTCCATCAGGTGAGCCCGCGCTGCCGGTCCCTGCCCACCGTGCGCACCGCACAGCGTCGCCCTCTGACTTCCATATCCATGCACACGCTTGCAGCGGACGCGGGGCAGGCTCAGAGCCGCCCCTTGCCGTGGCCAGAGAGCACGCCAGCGCAGACGTGGGGCTGCCTGCAGGGCCCGCTCTCTCCACTCGTCCCGGCCGCCTCCCAGCAGTGTCTGTCAGAGAGGGAGGAGGGGAGGCTAGCCGGGTGCCGCCTCTGCGCCAAGCGCTTGCTGAGCACAGCGGACACAGTAGTTAAACGTAACGGGAACGAGTGTGGCTGTGCTCGAAGGCCCCTGGAGGCTGGGTGGCCAGTGGCAGGAGCCCAGGCTTTGAAGTCAGACCTTGCTCTCTTGCTGTGTGACCTTGGACAAGTCTCCTTGCCTTTCTGAGCCTCATACTCAGCCTCCATAAGATGTGGGCCAAGGGCCCTGCTTTGCAGGATCACTGGGATTAAATGAGATAGCACATGCAGGGCACAGAGTAGGGGTGAATGAATAAACGTTGACTGAATGAAAGGCCATCTGGAATGGGTCCCCAGCTGTCCCACCTCTGCTTGTCTTTGGTGCTGCCTGTTCCCCATCCATCCTTGGGCTTAGTGGCTATGGTAAGTGGAGTTCTGTGTTAGCAGCGTGGGGCTCCTTGGGCCTAAGGCTGTGTGGAATACTAAGAGGGTCCTTTATATTTGCACAGAATGAGTGAGTAAATTCCTCTTAAGCACTTACTATGTACCAGGCACTATCTGGGCCTCCAGCAGCTTACAACAGAGGATCTCACTGGGTCTTCATGAGGCAGAGCAGGAGTTCCTATACCCATTATACAGACGAGCAAACTGAGGTTGGGAGAACTGAAGTCACGCGTCCTGAGCTGCATGATGACCTTCCCGGAAGCCAGGCAGGAACCTGGCCCAGGGTCCTTCTCCCTCCCACTGCCCCTTCTCTGGGGCAGAGCTCTACAAGGCTTTGCTAACGTGGGCTTTTCCTTGGCAGTGAGTATGATGAGTATGGCTTCCTGAGGGTGCCCGACTACGAGGTAGAAGACCTGAAGCTGCTGGCCAAGATCCAGGCGCTGGAGGTGCGTTCCCACCACCTGCTGTCCCTCGAGGCTGTGGAGCGGCCGCTGCGGGAACGCTGGGCTGCCCTAGCTGAGCTCGCGCCCTCGGCCGAGCTGAAGCAGCTGCTGCGGGCAGGAGTGCCCCACGAACACCGGCCGCGCGTCTGGAGGTGGCTGGTGCATCGCCGCACCCAGCACCTACACACTCCCGGCTGCTACCAGGAGCTGCTGGGCCGGAGCCAGGCCAGCAAGCACCCTGCTGCCCGCCAGATCGAGCTGGACCTGAACCGTACCTTCCCCAACAACAAGCACTTCACCTGTCCCACCTCCAGCTTCCCCGACAAGCTCCGCCGGGTGCTGCTGGCCTTCTCCTGGCAGAACCCCACCATCGGCTACTGCCAGGGCCTGAACAGGTGAGCAGCTACAGCCTAGTGAGGGCGAGGCCCTTACCTTTCAGGGCACCGCTCTGTCTCTTTGGAGCCTCCCAAGAACCCCGAGATATGAGCCCAGGACACTTGGTCCCCACTGGACAAATGGGGACAGGCAGGTGAGAGGACATGTTCAGGACAGAGATGGGCCAGGCCCCCTGTCCCACGCTCTCTCTTTTGATCTGTGCTCAGGGAGGTGCTCTCACGTGGAGAGCATCATGAATGGTCCGCTGGAGTTTATAGTGCACGGCCCGGCTCACATATTGCAGGACTGTCGGGCTCATTCGCTGGCATCATTTGCTTTAAATGAAACCTCAGAGGAGCCCAAGGAAAAGGGAATTTGTAAATGTTACAGGGGAGCTCACAGGAGCCAGGAAAAGGAAATAGAGCTGAGGACCAGCTGGTCACTGGAAGGCAGGCAGCTGCTCTGTCCAGCAGGGGCGCAGCACTGCGCAGCCCTAGGGCAGCCTGCATACACAGTCCCTGGGAATGCCGTGCAGTGAGGACGCACAGCACCAAGGCACTTGTCTGCAGCCCTCTCTGCGGCTACGTGGTCTCTGGCCTCTCCCTCACTCGACCCTCCTGCTTCCTTCCCTCTCAGCAAACCAGCCTCTGCCCAGTCATTTTGGGGATGTTCAGGGCAAATCAAGGTTGCTGGAATGGAGATCTCAGCCCCTGAGCCTTGAGCCTTTCAGCAAATCTTCTCACGCCATCTCTCACACACTCAGCCCTCGTGCCCTAGTCCTGAATTCCCCAAAGAAGGAATCTGAATGGCCCAGCCTGGAATAATTTCCATTTCTGGTCCATTCAGCAGGGGACGGAAGAAGGGATTGGGGGTAGGAGATGATGTCACCTGGTTCATAGGACTGCCCCCTCCAAGACTGCGGGGGACTGTCCCAAATGCCCCCAGGTATCTCAGTAGAGGTTGCTTCATCTCAGATACTTCCCAAAGCAAGTTTTGACTCAAGTTAATTTAAACACACCCATACTCAGGCAAAATTTACATAAGCCATTCTGCTCTTTTTTCAGACTAGATGGTGTGTGACATTTATTTAACACAGAATAAACATTCAAATTGTTCTCACTCAAATTTGAATGGTTCTCAAGGGTAGATATTTTTTCCAGCCTAAAATTAGGTGAAATTGAGCATGCATATATGCAATTACTGGGACTTAAGAGTTAAACTCCAACCATAATGCCTCTCAGTGTAAGCCTCCTTAGAAATTGTGTTCGGATGTCATGCTACTCTAAATGTCTGCTACAGGTGATATCTGTAGAAATTTCATTCATTCAGCAGCCAAGCAAAAGCCTGTGCACTTCTTATCTGTTCAAACATGTTAAAATCCAGAAGGAGCAAAATTTGCAAAGCCTCTTTAAAAGTAGTTATAAGAGAGCTGGAAGCTATGCGATTAGTATGAACAAAAATTTTTATATCTCATGCAAAGGTCAGGTGGGAAGCGATGCTTGATGAGGGCCTCTTGGATGCCAGATACTTAGCATACCTGATACCATTCGATCCTCATGAAAACCTGTGAGGTGGGCATTGGTGGCCCCATTGTCCACATGAGACTAGAGGGCCCAAGAGGCTGAGGAACGTGCTCAGAGCCTCACCACACATGGTGGCCAAGGCAACTACTAACCCCGGCCTCTGGTCCCCAAACCCAGTCCTTCCTGCAGCCCACGCTCACTGAGAATGGCAGTGGTGGCAGACGGTGTGCCAGGGCCTCCCAGAAACCCCTTTTCCTGAGTAGGTGTAACCTTTGTGAGACCTGCTCTGGAGTTCAAGGCCCCCTATAACAGGAGAGGGCCTTGCAGTAGCCTCATAGAAAGAGAGAAACTTCTCCCTGTGTGGAAAGAGGTAGCATACAGGCCGCAGAAGGGGATATAAGGACACCTGAGACCAAGAGACTCGGAAAATACCAGGAGGGTGTTTTTTAAATCTCTTTCTCTGAATGCTATTTTTACTTAAATTTGATATGCAAGCACAGATAATTGGTATTTATGTAAATATGCGATTGCTTAAAATAGAACATTATTGTAATAGCAAGCCCATTCAGATGTGCAGCGTATTGGCCCTAAACCCAAGACTGCAGGCCCTGCACTTGTCTTAGTTGCCATCTAGTGGTGGCCGTTAGAACTGCATGTGTGGTGTCTCAAGATGACAAACCCTGCTTCCAAGGCAACAAATCCAGCCTGTTCACAGCGACAGTTAGCATAGTGATGATCTAATGCTAATTTAGAACAAAAAATTTAAAGCTATTTCCCTGTGAAAATAAGTAGAATTCTTTAAAAGTAGTTTTTTCTCATCCTCATTGACACACTTTGCTGGCCTACTTGCAGTCCTGCTGTAGCCCTGAGCAGTTAGTCAGTAGGCCCTAGCAACCAGCCTCGGATAGTGGACCTTTTAGTGTGTGCAGAAGTCTAAACCAATGCTGGCAGCCAACTCTAGACTGAGGACTTCCTGAGGCTCTGGGGAAACAGGGTGGGGAGGGTGGAGAGCAGCAGGCTGGACTTTGGGAGTGCTGGGTTCTCTTTCCACCCTGCCACCAACAGACTGTGATCTTGAGCAAGTCACTTCTGCTTTCTGGGCCTTGGTTTTCCCATCAGTGCAATAAGGACTTTGTCCACACCAGAAATGACCAGTAGGAGGCAGCTACCTAGAGCCTTGTCCTGAGTGAATTTCTGAGGCTGCCTCCAGACCAGGGGAAAGAGTGCCATAATCAATTGGTTATGTCTTCCCTGGGCAGAGACAAAGGGAATGTTGCCATGATCAATTGGTTATGTCTGCTCTGGACACAAACAAAGAGAGTAGTGGCCGGTATACCTCACATTTGCTATCCTTGAGCTCAGTGACCTCTGGAGGTTCCCTCCCCTGCAGCTCTGACAGGGCAGGGCCTCCTATTTCTAAGGTCTTCTGTGATTATTCTTTTCTTCACTCACTCAGCTCAGACTCAAGAAGGTTTGTACAAATATTTGAGCCAGAGTGGGGAGAAATTCCTTCCCAATCTACTGGAGAAAGAGAAGGGATTTCTTTTCTTGTCTTTTGAGATTTGACCCTGTTTCTAAGAGTCGTGAACCTCAGAAGGGTGGAGATCATGAATCCAATCAAGCGAGAGCCCAGAGAAGCATAAATATCTGGACAGTGAAATGTGCTCTTTAAATGCTCTTTACTTGCAGAGAGTCTGAGGCTTCAAATGCTGTAGAGCGACATCTCCCTGGCTGCTCTCAGGAGTACTTGGTCCACGAGGCCTCCGTGGGTGCAGCGTACAAAGGGACCTCCACGGACCCGCCGGGCAGCCCTGGGTTAGTCAGAGTCAGTCGCACAGGGCTTTGTCACTGCAGGGTTTCTCAGAGGCTTTACAGGCATCGTGAGCCTCTAAGAGGGGGCTGGAATGTGCAGCATCCCCCACATGTCAAAGAATATGGGACCTCGTGGTCACTTAGCATCTTGGGAAATGTGTTCTTGGATTGGCCGTGGCTGAGAGCTGCCGGGGAAGATGGGAGAAGGAGAGAAAACAGTACTTCTCCCAGGAAGACTTCCCTGCTCAGCCCTGGGGGGTTCTTTTTCTCACCCGTGATCTCATTAGAGCCTCATGAGAACTTTGAGGGGCGGGGAAGTGGAGGAGAAAAAGAACTATGTGCACTGAGCTGGTACAGAGCAGCGAGCAAGGCACTGTAGGTCCGTCTGCTCACTCCCGGCCTGGGGGCAGATATTGGTAGTCTTACTTTGCAGACTCAAGAGAGGTCAGTGTGCTTGCCAAGGTCTCAAAGCCTGTGATTATTAAGGTGAAGCTAGCTAACATTTATAAGAGCTCACTGCGTTTCCAGCACTGTGCTGGGTACTAAATGAACTCTGTTCATCCTCACAACAGTCCTGTGATTATTATGAGGAGACTGAGGCTCAGAGAGGTTAAGTAACTTGGCCAAGGTCACCCAGGAAGCAGCAAGACCAAGATTCACACCCAGGCAAGCTGACTCCAGGGCCCCTGCTCTGAAATGGTTCCCACTGCTCTGGAAATCGCCAGGGTCATCTTCCCCAAAAGAGTGTTCATCTCACTCCAGGTGCCGGGAACACCAGCCTGGCAAGGGGGTGGGGAGTGGGGCTGGACTGGTGCTCGCGTACAGGGACTTACCCTGGGGCCCAGTGAGCCACCTCTGTCCTGGGCTGCCTGGCAGGGCTCCGACGTGTGTGGGTCACGCCAGGGCTCCTTCCCTCCCCCTCCAGGCTGGCGGCCATCGCTCTGCTGGTCCTAGACGAGGAGGAGAGTGCCTTCTGGTGCCTGGTGGCCATCGTGGAGACCATAATGCCCCCCGATTACTACAGCAAGACACTGATGGCGTCCCAGGTGAGCGGGACAGGGAGGGGACTCGGCGGCCACGCAGGGTAGTGCCCCTGAGTTGTTCCTGCAAGCCAGGGAATCTTCCAGGCTCCCACTTCTCCCTCTGTGCTGTGGGCCGATGACCCTCTGGGACTCGTGGGAAGTTGCAGTGAGCTGGCGGCCTTTAGAATTGTTGGGCTATGTTGTTGCTGTTCCAGTGGCGACATCGTGTCGTTAGAAACGGTGGGTTTCGTGGGGAGGGGAGGAGAAGGAAATCCAGTGTCCCTCGCTATTTGCCAGTCAGGAATTTCAGCACAGAGGTCAGGTAGATGGGCGATGGGGCTGGGAGGCTGGGAGGTGACGGTGCTGACTGTACACACGCCCGCCGTTGTCTGCTGAGAAGCATGGCCGCCTCCGTCATGTCGTCACCGCCTCGGCTGCCCTGGGCACAGGCCGGCCCTGGAGCCCGGCAGAGCTGGGTCCACACCCCTCCCCTTCACTGACCAGCTGTGTGGCCGTGGCAAGTGACATCACCTCTCTGAACCCCAAGCTGGCCCGCTTTTGAGTGGGAATAAAGTTTCTCCATGGGCTTAAGAGCTGTAAATGCGCAAACATTTCAAACCCCCCATCCCACTCGCCAGCCTCTCCCGCCGCCCCTGCCGCGTTCTCACGCATCAGCACCCTCCGCTCGGCAGAGAGCCCTGTCGCTGCCCACCTCCAGACCCATCAGCTGCCATCCCTCTACCCACCCAGCCTTTCTCCTGCGGCTGACTCCTCCGTCTGGGACGCCCGCCTGGGTGGGGAGGTCCGGGGACTGTGGGTGTTCAGGTGTGGAGCTGGAGGAGCCATCAAACTTGGGAGTCATCAGCAGAGAGGTGTCGAATCAGGTGAGGATTCGTCTGGCCTCACGGAAGGGGAGCCCAAGCTAACAGTGGCTTCAGCAGGGGATTATTTTTCTCAGATAAAGACAAGGCAGGACCCACCCCTCAGTGGCATCAGGCCTCAGGCTCCTTGCAGCTCCCTGCCCTGCCGCCTCTGGCATGTGGCCGTCATCCTCATGCCCGCTGCCCTATGGTCACAAGATGGCCACGTACCCTCCAGCACTGTGGCCGAGGCCTGGGCTGGAAGAAGCAGAGGGGTGGACAGCAGGAGCTGGCTCCCCCGCCCAGCAATTTCCACCTACCTCTGACTGGCCAGAATGTATCTCGTGGCTGCCCTGGTTGCAGGGCAGGCTGGGAAATGTGTCATGTTTTATGTTCACATCCTAACACCTATGACATTCAGGTGTGTTGCATAAGCAATGTGGTAGGGTTTGGGGGTTTTTTTCTTTCATTTTTTATTATGGAAAATATCCCACATTTAAAAAAAGTAGTGAAAATGGCATCATGAACCTCCATGTGTGCATCGCCTGGTTTCAGTGTTGTTTCATCTGTATTCCCACCCACTCCTGCTTTGATTATCTTGAAGTACATTTCAGATACAATTTCAGTTCATAAATCCTTCAGCAGGTTCACTGGCTCCTCAGACTCAGTAGTTACCGCAGGTTTGGAGCTGCACACTTGGCCTGCACAGCTGACCGGGGTTCTGGGTGAGGAGAGGGGAGCTGGTGGTGTTTGCCACAGCTGATGCTCACGCCTGCAAGAGGACTCAAGTTGGGGGACAGGGCAGAGCACCCAGCAGTTCTAGGAAGGAAGAGCAAGAAGAAACTAAAATAGGCTCATCCCAGAGGTAGGAGGGGGACCACAAAAGAACTATGTCCTGGAGCCGGAGAAGGAGCCAGTGCTGGGAGCAGTCAGCTGGGTCCCGTGAAACAAGGATGGAGGTGTGACAGTGGCCACAGGGAGAGGTCACTGGCAGCCATCGCCAGCAGCGCCCTGCTTTGAGAAGATTCTTTGATGCCACGAGTGGCAGGACATTATACCCCGCACACACCTGCCCCAGGACCTCACCCCAAACATCCACCCAGCACCTTCTGTGTCCAGCCCAAAAGGAGTGTAGAGAAGCGGCCGTGGCCGTCAGCTGATGCAAGCTGAGACTAGGCTCTGTTTCCCCAGGGCCTTTGTGCATGGCCAGTTTCTCTGAACTGCCACATGGATCAGCCTGGCCCCCAGGCTCCTGCTTGGCTCAAGGTGCAGGTGGGCAAGGGGCCTGAGAACTCGCTAGCCCACATTAACCTCCCGCAGAGCCTGGTGCTGCAGCCCAATGGCTCTCACTGTGTCAGGAGCAGCGGGTGGTGTGCTGCTGCGCCTGCCTCCCTGGCACTGCGGCCTTCTGGGCAGGGCAGGACCTACTCAGAGCAGCGCCAGGGTTGTGTGTGGACTGACTATGTAGGAAGGGTGGGCAGGGAGGCTGAAAGTGACAGGCCCTCTCACCGGCTTCCAGGTGGACCAGCGGGTGCTCCAGGACCTCTGCTCAGAGAAGCTGCCCCGGCTGATGGCCCACCTGGGTCAGCACCGTGTGGACCTCTCCCTCATCACCTTCAACTGGTTCCTGGTGGTCTTTGCAGACAGTCTCATCAGCGACATCCTCTTCCGGGTCTGGGATGCCTTCCTGTACGAGGGGACCAAGGTAGGGTGCTGCTAGGGTGTTGGCAGGGGGGCCCTGAGCAAGTCCCTTCACCCCTCTGGGCCTGGATTCTGCCCCTGGAGACTGGGAGGACAGTGCTCACCTGTCAGGGTTGCTGAGGTCTCCTGAGAGCATGGCTTTGTAGCCTGTGGCGTGCTTTGCACATAGGAGAGGCACTGGTGGCTCTGCCTCTGAAGATGTGCCCTCAAGTGGGATTGCCTTTCCCTGGAGAGGAGGCGTGAGCGTGATCGGGGGTACATCTCTAGTCCATCTGTTGTGTCCCCCCCCCCCGAGTTACCTGAGCCCTTCCTTCCCTTCCTCCTGGTTGCACTCAGCCTGGAGTTGGGGGCTGGAGCTTGGGTCTGGTCCCAGCCCTGCCCTGACCTTGCCAGGAGGCCCTGGGCAGGTCTCCCCACCACCCCAGTTTCCACCTCACAGTTCAGAGAGCACCTTCAAATTAGTCCTTTGATTTGATCCCTGCCAGAGCCCCATAAAGTAAAGGCATGGAGTTAACCCCATCCGGTCCAACAGGACAGGCTAGAGCTGGGACTCAATGCAAATCCCACATTTCAAGCTGTGCCCCCCCCTACACTGTGCCTGCAGGCCTCACCTCTGCAGCCAGTGCAGGGACTCCCACGCCGCCTGGGGCTGTGGCCTTTCCTCCCTCTGGGGACTACCTGCCTGGTCCCCCACGCCCCACCTGAGCCTCCACTGTGCCCCCAGGTGGTGTTCCGCTATGCCTTGGCCATTTTCAAGTACAACGAGGAGGAGATCCTGAGGCTGCAGGACGGCCTGGAGATCTACCAGTACCTGCGCCTCTTCACCAAGACCATCTGCAACAGCCGGTGAGAGCCCTCCCGTGCCCTCCGGCACGCCCGCGCCCGCGCACCCCAGCGCACAGCAGAGGGGAGGCCGGTGTTTGCCAGGAGGAGATTCCTTAGTGATACTGATCATCCCATTACAGCCTAGAAATCTTTAGGGAAGTCCTACTGTCTTGGTGATGCGTCTGCTGCCTCCCCATGGCATTTGAAGCCTCCATGCAGTTTCGTTTCTTACCCACCTTCCCTTACCCTGAACACTCATGGCCTGTGATCCTGGAAGGCAGAATTATTTGGGTTCCTAGAACAACCCCACCTGTGGGCTTTTGTCCTTGTTGTTTTTTCTACTTAGAATGCCTCTTTGCCATCTCTACCACCACCATCTTCTTTGCCTGGTCAACTTTTATTCACTCTTTAAAACTCAGCTGACATGTCACCTCCTCCAGGAAGCCTTCCCTGACCAACCTTTCCCTACTGGGTTAGGTGCCCTCCTTCTGAGCTCTGGTAGCCCTGAGCTTCCTCCTGCCTCAGCACGATCGCCCCTGGTGGAAACCATCTTCCTCTTCACTGTTTCCTCCCCGAGGGCAGGGGCCAGGGGCTCAGCCCCGTGGGGGGATGTCCCCGTGGCCCCGTGCTCTGGACTGATGGCGCCCTCCCCGCAGGAAGCTGATGAACATCGCCTTCAACGACATGAACCCCTTTTCCATGAAACAGCTGCGGCAGCTGCGGACGGCGCACCGGGAGCGGCTGGAGTCCGAGCTGCGGGAGCTGGAGCGGCTCAAGGCCGAGTACCTGGAGAGGCGGGCATCCCGGGGCAGAGCAGCGCCCGACGGCTGCGCCAGTGAGGACGAGGCGGAGGGGGAGGCCTGACGGGGCCACGTGCCCTCCCCAAAGCCTTCCTTACCCTTGGCTGGCACGCCCCTGGGAGTCAGCATGGACCAGTGGTCCAGCCTGGGTAGCCTATCTCCATGCGACCCTGGACAAGTCCCTTCTCTCTAGGCCTCAGTCTCCCCACTGGGACATTGTCTGCTGGGAAGCCATTGGTTGGGTTACCTTTTGTGGGCACTTACCAGGGATGCCAGCCCTTCCTGGCCTCTACACAGAGCACTTTAGCATGTAAACAAGGAAGAAGAGTGCTGGCTTTATAGGGTAACCTTGAACATCGTTTGGGTTATACCAATATAAACAATGTAAATGTTGGAAATAGTTCACAACCTTTGGGATTTAAATGGTTCTCAATTACCAGTTTTTCCTGGATGGGCCCACGGTGCCAGGGTGTGCCACCACCAAGGCCTCCCAGCTCAAGATGTCTCTGGCTGCTGTTTCTCTGGGTGTCTCTGCAAGGCCAGCCTCTTCCTAGCTCCCTGAGGAGCTGGGTCCTGAGTGTGTAGGGTTTCCATCTCTCTGGGTAGCAGCCCGCTGCAGTGCCGACTGGGCCTGCATTCCAGGCCCACCCTCTGCGTACTCTGTGCCCTCCTTTCTGCTCACAGCCCATGTTGGGGGATCCCCAGGGAAAACCCCCTGCCCACCACGAGGAACCTGGTGTGGGCTTGGGCGGACAGCCTGGGTCAGGGCTCCCACTTCTGACCCCCCACTGCCCACCTTTCCTCTGAACAATGGGTGGTTGGGAGGGTGGGGAGATGGTGGTGAGTGGGGGCCCTACTTGGCTCGTCATACTCACCGGGGCAGGCACTCAGGGCTCTGTGGCCCCCTGCCCAGAGCCAGGCTCTGCAGACTAAGGCAGGGGTCAAGGCTGCACAGTGATTTGGGCAACTCATTTCTCAGCCAAACATGTGACTGTGCTGGCACAGCTTTGGGGTTCTCACGTGGAAACCTCCTCTCTGGAAAACCATCCCGGTTAGGTGAAGCTGCCTTTGAACCTCCTAGCTCTGATCTGAGGCTTCTGTCAAGAGCTGGGGAGGAAGCTTTGCCCCTCACTGAGGACCAGGGACAGGCCCTTTGGCAGCCCTGGCTGGTCCCTAGTACCTCATGTCACTCACAGCTATGAGTTTGGGGTGCACCAGGCAACCAGCTCTCCCACACTATGCCGCAGCCCTGGGGAGGGGTCCTCAGAGTCCCTTTCCTCAACCTCCGGACAGGATGGATGCTGTAACCTTAAGGTTGGTTGGTCATTGGGGTGACAAGGGGCCCAGCCTCATGGTGCTCTCAGGAGGGTTGAAGGAGATAATGCTGGTTCCAAGCCTGGTGCACAGTAAGCTGCATCCAAATTTTTTTTAAGAAACAGTCTCACTGTGTCACCCAGGCTGGAGTGCAGTGGTGCGATCATAGCTCACTGCAACCTCGAACACCTGGGCTCAAGAGATCCTCCCACCTCAGCCTCTCTCCCCAGTAGCTGGGACTGCAGGTGCGTGCCCCACACCCAGCTAATCTTTTTAGTCTCACTGCATTGCCCAGGCTGGTCTCAAGGAGTTCCTACCCACTTGGCCTCCCAAAGTCCGGGGATTATAGGCGTGAGCCACTGGGAGTGGCCTTTCTTATGAAGGAAACATCTCGGGGGGACAGGCCCTGAGGTGTACAGAAGGCCCAAGCTCCAGAGCTGGGAGAGAACTCATATTCACTCTTCCACACAAACAACCACAAGCAAAAGAGAAACACACTGGGCGTGGGGCGGCTGGGTAATGGCACCCTCCTCCCTCAGTCTACCTCTCTTCCCCTCCTCCATCCCTCTTCTTTACCCATTTTCTCCTCCCCACCCCCTCTCCCTTTCTTCTTCCTCTCTCCCCCTCTCTCTCCTCCACCCCCAACTCCCACCAGGCAGGGAGAGGCTCTGCTCAGAGTTGGGTGTCTGAGCTCTGTCCTTCCCCTCCTAGGGGGAGGCGGTGCTTTGCCTCTGACCCAGCACCATGTGACCTCTGCTTCCTACCTGGCTGCACCTTAGAATCCCCTGAGTAGCTTTTTAGTTGGTGCTGGGGTTCCACGCTCAGAGCCTGTTGTGGAGCCCAGGTGTTCTGATACCCTGGGAGGGTTGGGGACCACAGGACAGTGAAGACTCACTGCCTCCTCCAGCCCAGCAGGGGGCGCTGGGAGTGAGAATTGCCCGTGCTGCAGCACCTGCTCACCCAGGCCAAGCTCAGGTTACAGACGAGGAGACGGCTCAGAGAATTGGCTGACCTGCCCACAGTCACACAGCCACTGGGCGGTTGAGCCATGCCAAGCCAGGGAGAGCTCCTCCTGGCTTCTCCCCTCACCTTCTCTGGAAACTAGAACACCTCCCCGACTGACCTAGGGAAAGGACAGGCGTGGCCTGTGGCCTTGTGGGGCTACACTCGTGGGTTTAGCTGCAGGCAAAGGAAAATGAGAGGTGGAGCTCCCTAACTGTTGCCTCCAGCTGGGATTGTAGTGATAGCCCCTTCCAGAGCTGAACCAGGCATCGAGGCTACAGCAGGGGCAGGTGGGCCCCCCAGAATGTCCAAGCCTGCTGCTGTTGCTCTCAGAGCCTGCCCACCCTCCCCTGCTCTTCCCTGAGGGCGTTTGGGGCCCTCCCCTGGTGTCGGGTTCCTGGCCTGCACCACAGCTGTTGCCCCCTTCCCCAGGGGCTGCACCGCCCCGCCTGGAAGATCTGATCCCTCTCAGCCCCACCTTCCCACCCCAGGGACGGGAACTCGTGCTCAAAGCATCCCTCCCCTCCCCGCACCCCTCCTCCAGTAAGCTGTGGTCCAGACCCCACTCCAGAGGGGAGGGAAAAGGAGTTACCCAGGGAACCTCCCTCAGCAACATCCCAAGAAGAAAGAGCTTGATCAAAGGAGGAGGGGCCTGGAGGACACTTTGGAAGACCTTCCCCCACACTCACACCCCCCCCAAAGTGGGAGGTGCATACTCATTTCCACTGATCGCCAGTGTTCAAGGTACTGTCCCCAAACACAGACCTTCACCCACCAGGTGCCATCCTCTCATTCTTTCTGAGCTCCATCTCCCAGGGACACAGGCCATGTTGTACCAAAAGCTCCATGTGGGGCAGGTAGATGCAGATCTTGCCCCACCCCCCACATACATGTTCTGGTCCCGCACAAGGTGTTTACCCACAATGGACGAGTAAACAGAGCTGACCACCTGGATGCAGGGGAAGGAAGCAGGAGGCGGGAGGTTTCCTGGCCCATCTGAGTCAGCACTAAGGTCCACAGAAGGTGCAGGCAGAGGAGCCCGACTTTGAAGCCAGATCTGTTGTGTGGTTTTCTATAACAGCTAAGGGGGCCTGGGCAGGTCATGCTGGCTCTGGCCTCAGTTTCCCCAGGTGTGCAGTTTGGGGGATGGACGAGGTAGCTTTCCGCATCTGGACCAGGATTGGGGGAAGGAGAGGGCAGGATAGGAGGAGCCCCTCACACAGATGCGCGTACACACACACAGCGACCCCAGGTAGAGTACCCGATGTTGTCTATTACAGAGGCCTCCCCCTGGCTTATCAGTCCCTATGCCAACAGCCCCCAGAGAGGTCCCTGTCAAACCAGCTGTTTCCCAAACAGAGTCCCAGCCACCAACCACATTGGCACAGGGTGGGAAGATGCAGATACAGGCACAGGGTGGGAAGATGCAGATACAGGCCCGGAGGGCACATTTACAGGGCGTCTGGGAAGGCCGGAAGGATGAGTGGGTTTAGACGGGGAGATGATGGTCTGGGAAGAGAATTCCAAGCAGACCAAGAGCAAAGGCTACGAGGTGTGAGAGTGCAAGGGAGTGCCGTTAGGGGGGTGCACCAGACCTACTGGCCCAACCCCCAAATAAGACATTCAGATGCCTTAGCCTGGGAAAAGTTGTGGTGCCCACCCTCTAGGTATAATTCAAGTAAAAACAGCAATGAACTATGAGTAAAAGGAATTCTCACAACGTCCTAATTTTGTCCATATGCTTTTTTGAAACTTCAGACAGCAGCTCCTCTTCCGTGCTGGCACTTGAAGCATGCATTCAGTCTGCCCACTGAGCAGTCCAGCGCGGACAGGTCTGGGTCAGAGTTGTAAGGTGGCGGCTTTGAGGGTCTTCCTGGACACAGGGTAGGCAGAGAGTCCATCCCGCTCTGGGCATGGGAGAGTGGCCCAGTGAACTGCGAAAGGAGATAATCAAGCGCCCACCAAGTACTTAGCCACTCTAAGCCTCAATTTACTTATCTGTAAAATGGGGGAAATAATAAAATAAAAGGGTTGGTAGGACTAAATGAAATAATATATGTAAAGTAGTACATCGTATGCTCTGCAATTCACTCAACAGCTATATACTGAGTGCCTACTATGTGCCAGGTACTGTTCTAGGCCCTCGAGATACCCCACAGAACAAAACCCAGAGGTCTTCTCAGGAGAGGCGGGGTGGCGGAGTGGCTCTGAGCCCGGGCGTGGGAGCCATGGTGCCTGCGATTGCATGACTAGCTGTGTGATCGTAAGATAGGTACTTAACCTCTCCGGGCCTCAGCCTCCTGATGTATAAAATAGGTGAGTAGTAGTATCAACCTCACAGGCTCGCGTGAAGACAGTAAAGTGAAGTAATGCACACAAGGTGCATAAACAGCGCCTGGCTCAGTAAGTGTTGCGTGGTGGTGTTAAAAGGCAGGGCCTCCCCACTGCCTATGTCCTCAGCGCGGCAGAGCCTGCGAGACCCGGCAGCGGCGCCCCTCCCGGCTCCCGAGGGAAGGCAGGGCGTCCCCCGACGCCCGGCGGCCCTGCCCTCCCCGCGGACCCGCAGCCCAGCAACGGCTCCCGCAGCGCGGGCGTGAGGAGCGCTGCCCCGGCGCCGCCTCTGCGTGCGCGCTTTACCCGGCCGGCATCGTCACACCCAGGGCTCAAACAGCCCCTTAAGGCAGACACAGCTCCTGTCTCCGTTCTACCGTGGGAGAAACTGAGGCTCCGGGAGGTCGAGTCCCTTGTCCCACGCCACGCAGCGAGGGAATTGCGGGACGTGAAGCCAGGCAATCCGGCTGTCCCAGCCTCCGCTTGGTGGCCGGGTAGCGCCCCCAATCACTGCGGCGTGTGCGCGCCTGTTCGGAGCGTGTGTGCACGCCGGGAGGCCGGCCCGGGGGCCGAGAGCGCGGTCGGGGCGGGGCGGGGCCAGCGGCGGGCAGCGGGCGGGGCTTGGGCCGGGCCCCCGTCCCCGCCCTCCGGCCCCGCCTGCCCGGCTGCGCGCAGAGAGGAGGCGGCGGCGCTGGGCGCGGGGAGTTGGCGGGTGGCGAAGAGCGTGGAGCCGGAGCCGGACGCCGCCGCCGCCGCCGCCGCTGCCGCCGCCGCCACCTGCGTGGCCGTCATCAAGGTAGGGCGGCCCGCGCCGCCGGCAGCGCCTTCCCGGTCTGCGCGATGGGGGCGTCGGCAGGGCGTGCGCGCTGTGCCTCCGGCTGCAGCTCCCGGGGAGGGAGGGATGCTGGGCTCGGCGCGCCGCGGGGGACCGGCGAGGCGCGGGGGGACCTGGCTTCCAGCCCCTTCGCGTGACCTTGCACGAAGCACTGCTCCTCTCCAGGCCTCAGTTTCCCCATCGGGATAGCGGGCGCAATGGTGCCCCCTCTTCGCCGGATTGTTGGGAGGGGCCGCCGCAAGATCCGCGCTCCCGACGGCTCGGGCCGGGATACGCACTGTCTGCACCGCCCACCCCTTCCCGGGGTGAGGGCGGCTCACCCTGGGCGCGGCCAGCCAGTCCCGACAGGCCCCTGTTGTGGCCCGAGTGCCCTAGGAGACGCATATTGGGACCCTTCCCCTCTTGGCTGCGTTACCTACTGGGCCTCAGCTTCCCAACACGGGAAACAGTCGCGGGTGCGGGGATGGGGGGACCCTAGGTCCCTGCTCAGCCGACCTGGGCTTGTGGGTGGGGCGATCAGAGTCTGCCTGCCAAGACGGGCCTCGTGGTCGTCTGGGGCTGGAGGAGCCCTAGGCTCGACCTGGCTGGACCCTCAGCCGCACACCTGCCTGGACCAGACCCATGCAAGCACCTGGATTTAGAGAATGGTGTAGGACGGCCCCATCCCCTTCCCAGCTCCGGCCAGCTGCAAGTGCCTAGCCCTGTGTCTAGCCCGGTGTGACAAGGCTGACTCGCAGCCACACCTGGACCTCAGAGGGCCAACAGCGCCAAGAGGGCTGGGTCTGAGTGGGATTGGGGCATGGGGCAGACGTGTCTGAGGGACTGTGGGTCCAGGCTCTCTGGGTAAAACAGATCTACGGCCTCTGGCCAAGCCCCTCTGTTAGATCCCTTCTGGAAGTCTTGCTGCCCGTTGAACACTCCTTATGGTGAGGATGTCACCAGCTGCAAACCAAGCTGGACTCTGCTTCCTAGTCACTGCCCCTCACGCTGCTCCTGCGCTGGGCACAGCATCCGACCCTTCCTCCTTCCCGCCGCCCCCCCCCCCAGCGCTGAGGGGAGCAAGGCAAAAAGAGGGAGCTGAGGTGTCTGCCCCAGCAGGCTGTGGGGCCTCCCCCGCCTGGGGCTAGTTCAGAGCCCACCTGTGCAGCAGGCCTGGAACCTGGTCCTGAGCTTCCTGCACCTCCTGCATACCTTCTGGGGGGTCTGGGGTGAGAAGGGGGGCTGGCCCCCTCTCTAAGCCCTTCCTGTCTATGGGGTCTCTTCCCCACTTCTCCCCTAATGCCTGCCCTGATGGAAGGAGCAGTTTCTGGGAGTTCTGGGAGTTCAGTTCTGAGTTTCTGGTCTCTCTTGTCCCCCTGATAGCCTGTCCCTCACCCAGGGGCTTTCTCACAGCCAAAGAAAGGAAGGGGTTCCTGGGCAGGTGATGAGCTCCCTGTCATCGTAGTTATTCAAGCAGAGGCTGAGTGAGCATATGCTGGGGATGAGCTGACTTTGCTGAAAGTCAGTGGGATTCGAGGGCTGAAGTAGGGTGCATTTGACCTTGCCCTTTAGCCATGGTGGAGCTGCACAGGGCTTGGAGCTGCTTTTATCCCCTCGTAAAAGCAGAGTAAGTGTAGTGCTGTCCCATGAGCCCAGCTCCAACGCACAGACTTAAGTGCTACCTTAAGTCTCCTATCATCTTGAAACATGTATAATCTGGGCCCCGTTTTCCTGCTCGGCTAGTTCAAGCCATTTTGGCCTGATTTAGAAGCATGGCAGATTCTGGTTATTAAAAAGTCATCCAATGGTAATAATTTTAAAATACACCATGGTATTACAGAATGTATGAGCCAAATGGAGCCTTAAGAAGTCATGACATCCAACTCCCTCATTTTACAGATAGGCATCCCCTGTTCCCAGAGGGAATATGACAGGCCAAAGGTCAGGCCACAAACCAGCACCTGAGCCCAGGGATCCTGATTCTAAGACTAGAGTAGTTTTTGTTTTTGTTTAACACATACCATATAATAAATGCAAGCAGTCTGTAGTTATTCCTTTTAAATTAGCAAAAATAAAAACAAAAGGATAAAAACTCTGTGTCGGCAAGGCTGTAGGGATTTGCCCATGGCACTTAATTTTGCAGGTTGGCAGCCTATTATTGTGAAAATGATCCTACCTGCCCTTTGTCCCTAGCTGCCTACTTTGGGGACTTTACCCTAAGGAAGTAACTATAGAGAGACACATATGTAGTGCTGTTATTGGTAAGACGTTGTCTTATACTGAGGAAGCTCTCAGTGTTTTATCTGAGGCTTGATAAACATTTTATTTTAAAAATACAGCTTAAAAAATAGTGACACTGAAGCTTACATTACCGGAGTCTGGCCAGGGTAGAAGCAATGTAGTCCAGAGGAAAGACTATGAGGCTAAAATCAGTAGACATAGATTCCAGGACAAACTCCTCTGCCCCCACTGTGTGACCTTAATTCAGTCACTTCCCTTCTCTGGACCTCACTTTCCCCATCTGTAAAATGGGGGTAGACTCAGTGATTGTTAAATGTGTTTCAGCTCTTGCAACCTACATACTAGATTTAGCAAATCTCTGTAACATACCCTTTTATTGGAAGGAATTTCCCCATGATTAAATGAATCCCCTTAGAGGCAGGCAGCTAGTCCCCTCCACGAGGGGTTTTAGCCTTAAACTTTTGCTATTTTTAAATGACCAGAACCTGGATTGTTTTCGAGTTTGTGTGTTTTTATCTTCTCTATCAAATCTCAGAAGGTCCAGAACATAATTCTGCAGGATCCTCTATTATTTTAGGTCTATAGTTAGTGCCTTGCCTCCTTCAGAACAGATTGGAGGTACTTTGTCATCACGCCTGATCTGAAGGGCCAGGAGTAGGTGACTTCACTTCTGTGTGCAAACATTTATTGGGTGCCTGCTGTATACCATGCCATGAGGTGCCTCCTGGGGGTCGGCAGGCTGCTGTGGGAAATATATTAGGTTAAACCATATGAAAAGCCAACATTTGTTTTTGACTTATAAAAAAAATGGCAGTTTCATTTGGTTCAACCTAAATGGGAAAAGGTACACAGGTAATTAAGGAGCAGTGTGCTCCTTACAATAAGTGAGAGACTGGCAGGGTGCAGTGGGGACTAAGATGGTGTGATTATAAGCTTGGAGAAGTCAAGGAGGAGGGGCTGGGAGCCTCCCCTTGGAGTGGGGGCTGACAGTAAACAAACAGGCCAGAAAGATCTGCCCTGAAAGAGCTTACAGTCAGATGGGGGAAAAGGCAGACAATAAACACCAAGTAACATAGATGGTGATAAATGACATGGAGCAAATAAAACATGAGGTGTGTGAAGTGGGTGGGAAGAGGGGTTGCAGCTTTAACTAGGGTGGTCTCAGGGGCTCATTCAGAAGGTGACTTTTAGGCAAAGGCTTGAAGGAGGAGAGGGAGTGAGCTGGGCTGATTTCTGGGGTGAGATCCATCCAGATGGAGGGAAAAAGCTAGTGCAAAAAGTCCTAAGTAGGACTCTGCCTGGCATGTCCAGAGAAGAAAGAGTGGGCTGGAACAGAGTGGGCTGGAACGGAGTGAGGGAGGGAGAAGAGGCAGGGAGGAGGTCGGAGAGCCACTGAGCTAGATCGTGTACCTCACTGTGTACAGCGTGGAATGCTACATGTTTTTGAGGGAGCTGCTGTTTTTACCTCTCTTTCAGTTACGAAAACAAAGGTACAGAAAAGTTAAGTAACTTGTTGAAACTGTGTGTCATGGAGAAGCTAGGGCTTCTAGTCAAAGGCAGTGGGGAGCCATGGAAGGCTTTTGAACAGGCCAGGAGCATGGCCAGATTTGAGTATTAGTGTGATTCCTCTGCGGTTGTCGTGGTCTGAATGTTTATATCCCCCCCAAAATTCATATGTGGAAATCCTGATCCCCAAAGTGATGGTATTAGGAGGTGGGGCTTTGAGAGGTTATTAGGTCATGAAGGTGGAACCCTCATAATGTGATTGATGCCCTTATAAACGAGGCCCCAGAGATACCCTCACCTCTTCCACCATTCGAGAACCGTAGCAAGAAGGCCCCACTGTGAACCAGGAAGTGGACGCTCACCAGACACCAAACCTGTTGTCTTCATCTTGGATATCTCCAGAACTGTGAGAAATAAATTTTTGTTGTTTGTAAGCCACCTAGTTTGTGGTATTTTGATGTAGCAGCCTGAATGGACTAAGGCAGGAGTGCACATTGTGTAAATAGTGCAGGCCAAGAGTGCCGAGCTGAGAGCCAGGCAGGAACGTGGGGCAGAGGACCTGAGAACTTGGTGCCAGGGGAGAGCTGGGGGGTCCAGGCCAGGTGAGCAGGAGGAGAAAGCCAGGCTGGCTCTGGGCTTATTTATTTAACAAATTCTTACTTAGTACTTCGTATGCTGCTCCAAGCTCTGTCTAAGATCTTACACATATTAAGCCACTCCTCATAACAACTTGTGGGTTTGGCCAGGCGTGGTGGCTCATGCCTATAATCCTAGCACTCTGGGAGGCCAAGGCAGGAGGATTGCTTGAGCTCAGGAGTTCGAGACCAGCCTGAGCAAGAGCAAGACCTTGTCTCTACCAAAAAGAAAGGAAAAAAAAATTTAAAAAAATCAACTTGTGGGTTTGATACTATTACTTTTATTGTTCCCATTTTTAAATGGATATATTATGTTGTATATCAATTATATCTCAACAAATACAAAGAAATTTACAAAGAAAATTTACAAATACATTTTTTATTATGTATACTTGATGATTGATGATAATGGAGAATTTTAGAAAAAGAGAGGGAAATAGACAGAAAATCAGTTACCCATATCTTTTCTTCTCATCCCAGATAATCAGTATAAATGTTTTCGTATATTTACTTTCAGTCTTTCTTCTATTATTCTCATTTTAAAGATGAGACGCTGAGGTGCAGAGAAGTTGGGCATGTTGCCTAGGGTCAGACATTTGAATCCATGCCATCTGCCCCCGGTGTCCGGGCTCTTAATCGCTAAGCTGTGCTACCTGTAGGCAAACCTTGGAATGTCCAAGTTGGTGGGTTCCATTAAGACATCCATCCCAGCCCCAGCCCTCCTCCCAGCCACCCCACTCGTGGCATCCTTTCACAGATAGGGAAAATGAGGCCCAATGGGAGGTGGGGCCTTGCTTAGTATCCATCAGCCAGCCAGGAGCACATACGTGAGGTCTGGTTCAAATACGATTTAGGGAGCTGAGAATTTGCACAGGGTTAATGTGACAGCTGCTTCCATCCTGGCCTTGAGCCTGGAGTTTGCAAGGGGCTGGCAAATGGCATGACACTGCCCACAGGGAGTGTGGGGGACTACTAGGGCAGGCCTGTGTTCCCTGGGCACAAGGGTCTTGTTTCTCCAACCAGCCCTGGGTGGGAGGTGGCCGGGTGATGAGGAGAGTTTGGGGCTTTGCCAAGGCTGCAGGGCCCCTGAGAGTTTTCTCCTGTCCTCTGACTGTGCATTTATTTCTGGCTCTGGTGCCAGCAAGCTCCTGGGGCCGCCTGCTGCCAGGAATGCAGCCCTGGCTTTCAGCCCCAGCTCAGCCACTGAGTGGCCCGGGGCCAGGGTCTCTCCCTCCCCACCTGCAAAATGGCATCATAATGGTCCCAGCCACAGGATGAAATGGCAAGTGCACGGGAAGTGTTTGCACAGGGTGTGGCCCATGGCAGTGCTCAAGAAATGGTCAGCTCCTGTGGCTGTTCCTAAGGCTGTCCCAGGGTGTTGGGCCCAGGGCCGGGAATCGAGATCACCATAGACAGAGCCCCCTCCCGCCAACCCTCCCTTCACACCTGCCTGGACCAGGTAGGGCCTGGCCAGTAAAAGAGAAGATAGAAATGAACTTCAGGCAGTGGTTTGGATTTGGAGATTGCAAACGACAAGGGACACAGCGGAACAAAAGAACCCAGGCCTATAAGGAAGGAGACCTGACCTCACCGCCAACATGCTCTTTAGGCAAGTCCTGTCCCTTCTTTATGCCTCAGTGTCCCCATCGGTAAAAGAGAGACAATATTTCCTGCCTTGTTCACTGTACTGAACTTCACCTCAGCAGCCATCTGTTGAGGTTTTCCTATGCTTGGGGGTGTGGATGTGGACAAGCCAGAGGCATCACAGCCTGGGAGGGCTCACAGCCTGCTGGGGAGCTGCAGTTAGCGTAGGGAACCCCGGAGCTGGCAGCCCTCTAGGAGGGGCATCTAGCCCAGCCTGGGGTGGCTGAGGGGCCGGGGAAGGCCCTTCGGCAGATGATGCCTGACCTGGGTTGTTGGTGGGGTTTGGAGTTGGCTGGACCATGAAGGGGAGGAAAACAAGGGCAGATATTGGGAAAACCACCCCACCTCTCCCATCCTCAGTTTATTCATCTATAAAATGGAGATAATGAGTACCTGCTCTGCCTAATTTATAGAGTGCTGTAGGACTTCGAAATTGGATAAAGGGTATGGAAGCACTTTATGGAGTATAAAATGCCGAGCACCTGTTCATTGTTGTTTATTGTGATTTCTGGAGCCCCTGGGGGTTAGGGAAATACCAGGCCAACATGTGGGGCTGGGAGAGCTTCCGGTAGGTTTTGAAAGGCCTACAGTCAGATCAGACAGAGACAGACAGCCACCATTAACCGCATACCCCTTGATTTAAGAGCTCGAGAGTATTTCTGTGCCTGGGTGTGGCTTTGCTTGGAGGAGGCCCAGAGGCAGCCATTGCCCAATCACAGATCACAGCCCTGCTCTGAGGAAACCCAGAGAGGCCTGGGTGCTGGGGTCGGGCCCCAGGCACCTGATGGAAGGGCTGTGGGGACCTGCCAGGTGAAGGGGTGGAGGGAGGACCTGGGGGCATGGGGGAGAGCCAGGAAGAAACCAGTCTGCAGAGAGAGGGCTGGATGTTGCAGTAGCTGGAAAAGCAAGTGAAAGAGCAGTATGTGTGGAATGAGCCTGTTTGGGTTTGAATGTGAGGAGGTGTCTACATACACACATGTAGACATAATAAAATATTCAGATGGACAGACATCAAGCTGGTTATCAACCGAATTTTTCTTTTGTCTTTTCTATATTTTGAAATTTTTATACATGATAGATGACTTATTTATGTAAAGTTGTCACTAAGTGTACACCCCCTCAGGATCTGGGGGGTGGGGATTGGTTCTAGGACCCCCGAGGATACCAAAATCCACAGATGCTCAAGTCCTTGGTATAAAATGGTGCGGCATTTCATATAATCTGTGCACATCCTTCTGTGTACTTTAAATCATCTCTAGATTACTTATAATACCTAAAACAACATAAACATGATGTAAATAATTGTAATACTATATTTTTAAAATTTGTATTATTTAAAACAACAATTCAAAATATTGAAAAAAATTTGTATTAGTTTGCATTGTTGGTTTTTAAATTTTTTTTTCAAATATTTTCCATCTGTGGTTGGTTGAATCCATAGATACAAAGCCTGCAGAGATGGAAGGCTGACTGTATGTAATAAATGTGATAATGATAATGTACGTAGTGTAATGAGCAGGCTAGTCTGATGTCACCAGCCTGGAGGGGTGAGGACTTTGGTGAGGCCTGGATGGTGCCCCCAATTCTGGCCTTCTGGAACGGCTGGGAGCAGAGTCCAGGGATGGCTCCTTGGAGTTTCCCTGGAGGAGAGGCCTCTGGAGGTCCCTGGAGGTGGGTCCCAGGACCCTTTTCTTGGACAAAGACTGGGCAGGTGGCTGTGAGCCCAGTTGCATTGTGACCAAACTGCCCTGAGCGAGGAACCTGCAGCAGCAGGAGGAGCAGAGGGCCAGAGGCAGAGGTGAGGGTCCTGTGGGAGTATGGGCCACCTCTGAGCAGGGCTGGGACAGCTGGGACAGCCCAGAAGGACCCCAGGCCAGGGAAGGGCCTGAGCCTTCAGATTCTGTGATACTTTAGAGATCCAGGGTGAATGCCCCACCTCTGTGGCCCCCTGCCCCTCGGCGATGTGCTTCCTTGGTCTTTGGTCCCCGGGGTTCCCACAGACCTTCCAGCTCTTTTCAAAGGAAGTAAAGAAACTAAGCTACCATCGTATTTCATTAAAGACAGAGCTTCATCTATTGTAAGATGTACCATTATTTTACAGTCCATTAAGACAGAGCAGCAGACAGTTAAACTATGATTCTAAGTTGCATCCCAGTTTCAAAGCTGTTCAAATGTAAAAATAAAAAAAACTGTCTTGGAATCACGTGATATGTGGCAGGCCCCACATTAGATAGACCTTTAATGTGCCTTCATTCATCGAATCCTCACAGCCACCTCGTAGCTAGAAACTCCTATCCTCTTTTTACAGATAAAGAAACAGGGACCCAGAGAGGCTGAGTAAATTTGCAAGGTCACACAGCCAGCCAGAGCTAAAGCTGAGATTTGAACCCACACTACTTAGATTTTTTTTCTACACCTCTTTTTCTTCATCTAACCCCACAAAGAGAAGGTTCCCGAGTTCTGGCCCTTGGGCAGAACAGAACGGCCACGCTGCAGAGGAAACATACACCAGTTCAGAAATGCTTCAGCGGCCTGCTCATCACGGCGCTGAGTGATGGGGGAGGCAGGGAGGAGGGCTGGGGAGATAATGAGCAGGAAGGAGCTTCCAGAGCAGAGAGCTCACTGGCCGGGTCATTAGCCTCATCCTTGTTATAGCCATTATCAGTAGTAGCTTGGCCTTTGGCTCACTCTGGAGATCCGGCCCACACAGATAATCCTGGAGCCTCACCCAGACTGGCCCATTCATTCATTCCCTAAAAAGTTACTTTTCAACCTAATTTTTTGACTAGGACCTTTGTTTATGTTTTGATCGCTTTCTGCAGATGAAGCTCAAGCCTCAGCATTAGGGATACTGAGCAGCGCAGAGCAGACCCTGCCCTGTGGACTCACAGACCACAGGGGAGATGGACAGTGATCTTAGAATGTGGAACAGCCTTCATCCTATGGGTGCCTCCTACCCTGGTCTGGGTTTTGAGCACCTTTTCCCCCCAGGGATGCTTAGATTTCATGGTTCACCCAGTGTTGGGGCTTGCCAGATGATGAGGAAAAAGGTCAGTAGGGTGAAGGGTTTTAGGGTTTTGATAAGAGTGAGCTGATGTCCCGTGTTACTGTGGGCAAGGAACGGGGGGGGGGGGGGGGCATCCACTGCATGTGGATATCACGTGACCCAGACAGGCTCCCTGGAGCTGGCCTGTCGGAAGAGGAAAGCCAGGCATGGTGGTAGAGTCGGGGCATTGCTTAATGAATTGTGTCATCTGGGGGAGGGGTCTCTGGTCATGGGTTCCAGGGCCCTCTCCTTGGGCCCAAACCTGTTTTACTGATCCATCAGGGTGCTAGCAAGGGCTGGGCACACCTGGTGGGTGACAGGGGGCTGGCTGGAGGTGAGGAGAGTGTGGTCAACAGTGAATGCTTGAACCAGTGCCTTTGGAAGCAGGTGGAGCATTTTTATATGACAAAGTTCATGGTGTGGCTAAGAGAAGGGTCAAGGTCAAGGAAAGGAGGGCATTTGGAAGTGAGATGGTCCTTTTACAGAGGAAAAACTGAGGCTCAGAGAGATTGTAGGACTTATCTGAGGACACAAAACTAGGAAGCGGCTCTCCTTGTATGTTTTTCTGTGCTTCAAGTTTCTTTCCTGAATTTTACTTTGGAGACGAAAACATGATGCTAGGACGGGCGCGGTGGCTCACGCCTGTAATCCTAGCACTCTGGGAGGCCAAGGCAGGCAGATTGCTAAAGGTCAGGAGTTCAAAACCAGCCTGAGCAAGAGCGAGACCCCGTCTCTACTATAAATAGAAAGAAATTAATTGGCCAACTAATATATATAGAAAAAATTAGCCAGGCATGGTGGCGCATGCCTGTAGTCCCAGCTACTCGGGAGACTGAGGCAGAAGAATTGCTTGAGCCCAGGAGTTTGAGGTTGCTGTGAGCTAGGCTGACACCATGGCACTCACTCTAGCCTGGGGAACAAAGTGAGACTCTGTCTCAAAAAAAAAAAAAAGAAAACATGATGCTGCTTACTCTATGGCTGGGACTCGGAGGCCTGGGAAGGAGCCACAGCCAGTAGGGGGTGGATAGGTTCAATCTACAGGGAATGGTATAAGGCTGTGGTCCCAACTCCCAGGCCATGTACCCCCCCATGCCCTGCCCCAGCAGTACCCATGGCCTGTTAGGAGCCTGGCCACATGGCCACCTGAGCTCTGCCTCCTCCCTCCCTTGACAACCCCATTGGTGAAAAAATTGTCTTCTGTGAAACTTGGGAAGAGGCGGGCCCAGCAGGAGTGTGAAGGAGGAGCCAGCAAAGCTTCATCTGCATTTGCAGCCACTCCCCGTCACTCTTGAGCTCCGCCTCCTCCCACCCCACCCTCCATGGAAAAACTGTGTTCCAAGAAACTGGTCCCTGGTGCCAAAAAGGTTGGGGACTGCTGGTTAAGGGATTGGCCCGACACCAAAGGCTGGGAGGTAGGAGCGGCCCGCCTTGGCAAGGAGGAGTATTTTATTGCTGACATTGTTTAGAGTTGCAGGCACATCGTGATAGTAAAAAGTCAGACTTTTGGTCAGTTTTATCATTTTTAAATTCTCTGTGGAAAGTGCACCCCCTTATTGTCTGCACCCAGCTGACTGCTCACATCCCTCCTGCCTTGTCCCACTTCCCCTCCCCAGCCCCACCTCCCTTCTTTATATACTCCTGGGCCACGTCTTGGCTTTGAATAACCCAGAAGCTGTTGAAGGTTTTGGAATAGAGGATGCTGCCATCTACCAATGGCCCAGGTGGGGCTTCGGCTTAGGAGTGGGGGGGATGGGAGACTAGGACAGCCTGAAGGAGATAGGGAGGCCTGGAAGAGGTGGGGGCTTTAGAGACAGGAGCAGGATTTCAGGCCATTGCTTGTAAGGCTCAGGACCCATGTCCACAGCTGCCCACCGCCACCCCAGGCCCAGGCTGGTGCAGTGCTAGTCACTGCACTGAGTGACTAGGGGTCCTGAGTCCTGCAGGGTCCACTGCTGTGGTTGGCAGGCAGAGGCAGAATCCTCGCACTGTGGGGGCATCCCACTTCTCAGCAGGACCTTCCAGAATGTAAGGAAAGGTTAATTCCCAGCCCACAGGCCGGCGCGGTGGCTCATACCTGTAATCCTAGCACTCTGGGAGGCCAAGGTGGGCGGATTACTCGAGGCCCAGAGTTTGAAACCAGCCTGAGCAAGGCAAGACCCCATCTCTACTATAAATAGAAAGAAATTAATTGGCCAACTAATATATATAGAAAAAAATTATCCAGGCATGGTGGCGCATGCCTGTAGTCCCAGCTACTCGGGAGGCTGAGGCAGGAGGATTGCTTGAGACCAGGAGTTTGAGGTTGCTGTGAGCTAGGCTGACGCCATGGCACTCACTCTAGCCTGGACAACAAAGCGAGACTCTGTCTCAAAAAAAAAAAATTCCCAGCCCACAGATGTCAGCAGGACCTTATGCTGGTCACTCAGACAGCAGCCCAAGAGTTGGGTTGGATTAGTCCCATTTTATAAATGAGGAAACTGAGGCTTCAGAGTGCAGCAGAGTGATAGGCACTGAAACCTTACAGTCCAGTAAAAGGACTAGTAAGGGGCTAAACTATAGCTCCTTCATAGGAGGCACTAATTTTAGCATCAAGAACTAGAGATTTGCATTCTCTCCAGGATGTGCCACTGACCAGCCAGGTGACCTTGGACAAGCCACACCGCCTTTGGGGTTCCTATTTGCTCCCTTGCAACATGAGGGGTAGACCAGGTGATCTCTGCCATCCCTTGAGCTAAAAGTTCTCCCTGAATCTGCCCCATCTTCCATTCCAGTGGCCTCCAAAGTGAACTATGCAAGATGCCCATTGAGGTGCAGGAAAAAATATCTTAACAAATAAAAAAAGAATTCAGCCTTACTCACATTTGCCAGGTGTAGACACACTGAAACCCTCCCTAGTTGGAGTATCAGGCAGCCTCATGTCTCACGTGGTCCAGAAATCTCCAGAGAGAAAGGAAAGCACTCTAAGAAAGGGGTGATGAGGACTCCCTTACTCTTTGGTCTGTTTTCGGCAGGTTATCCTGATTAATTAACCTGGTTAATTCAGGTTAATCCAGACTAATTAATCCAGATTGGATTTACAGGTTATATTTTCCACTTTACCCCTTACAAAATGGACAAGTGATTTTTAAAGATTTCTACAGAGGCTGGGCGTGGTGGCTCACGCCTGTAAACCTAGCACTCTGGGAGGCCGAGGCAGGAGGATTGCTCAAGGTCAAGAGTTCGAGACCAGCCTGAGCAAGAGTGAGACCCCGTCTCTACAAAAAATAGAAAGAAATTAATTGGCCAACCAAAAATATATAGAAAACAAATTAGCCGGGCATGGTGGCACGTGCCTGTAGTCCCAGGTACTCGGGAGGCTGAGGCAGAAGGATCACTTGAGCCCAGGAGATTGAGGTTGCTGTGAGCTAGGCTGACGCCATGGCACTCTAGCTTGGGCAATGGAGTGAGACTCTGTCTCAAAAATAAATAAATAAATAAAAGATTCCTACAGAAAAACTGTGGGTCATTAGTGATTGTAATGATGCTAGTACCTATGGACAAGAAAACGGGAGGGTTTCCAGCAAGATCACTTCATCAGCCACAAGGGGACAAAAATAACAACAAGCTAATCAAGTCTGACAAGAAGTCAGCCCAAGACTTTTTTTTCATTTGGGGGACACTATTGGAATACAGATTTACAGTCACTCTGGTTAAGGATGAATCTCACCCCATCCGTGTACATGTTTTGTCTTGAGGCTTCTGATGATGGTTACTTGTATAAAATATAAAATATCGGGAGGGGTGAGCTCATTGTTTCTTCCTTTGGAAGGAGCAAGTGATCAAAAAAGTTTGGATACCCCCATAATATGCCAAAATAAAAAAATAAATAAAAAAGAGAAAAAAAAAAAAAGTTTGGAGCCCACTGCTGTAACCTCTTGTTCTGTAGCACGTTGCCGCCACTTCTAGTGCACCACCATGTGTTGTGATCAAGCCTTGTTCTGGTGGGGTATGATTTCTCCATGTTTCTACCCATTCCCAGGGAAAGACCCCATGGTACCTCCGGGCCCACAGAGCCCAGCACAGCGGCTCTCTCCGGCTGGGGACCTGGAAAGCGTGGGTGAGTAGATGTGCTCTGGTTTACCCTCGCATCGAGGGGCTGCTGGTACTCTGCTGCTGGTCCTTCTAGCAGAAAAGACCTGGGCTCTGTTCCCTTGACCCCCACAGAGCCCCGTCATTCCCAGCCTGAACGCTCTATGGGGAGACACAGCTCACCTTTCAAAGACCTGAGTCCGAGGGGGCGCAGAGAGGATGAATGACCCCCGACCTCACAATTATAAGGCCTTTCTTCTCCAGCCAGCTTTGGAATTTGCCCTTCCACAGACGTGCTTCCACTGTTACTTACAGCAGCATAGATAAGGGACAAAATATTTGGTGCCGTATCCAGGCACAGGATGAAAGGAGACTTTGTTCTGTGTCTTAGAGGACTCTTTTGGGTTGGGAGGCTGGGGACCTGGATCCTGTCCCTAGTTCCACCCTGTGTGTGGGGGCTCCAGGCGTGCTGACTCGGTTTCCCCTTCTGCACCCCATGATCTCTCAGGGTCTGGCCAGTGCCGCTATTCGGGGATGTGAGGTCTTGGGGTTCTTTGGGGACCTGCTCTACTGAGGGGTTCTCAGCCCCCATCAGGAGGGTTCAAGTATGGTCTGGGCTCCAAATTGGGTAGGAAATGGGGACAGCTTGGAGCCTTATGGGCAACCAAAATGGGGAGGAGATGGGAAACTGAGTCACACAAGAAACTCCCCAACCTGGAGCAGAGCCATCCCAGAGCCTTACTTCAGGGGCCTCAGATTTCTGAAAGGCTGTCATGGGGCAGAAGCTATGGGCATGGTTGGCGGGGTTGCAGGGCCAGAGACTGGACAGTGAGGAACATCATAGATTTCTGTTCAGTAGAAGGGAAAAAGTCCAACCAGTGAGCTCCTCTCCCCCTAGAAGGGGTAAGTTTCCTGAAACCCTCGAACTATTCAGGTGGAATGATGTGGAAAGGAGGGCAGAATTCTGTGATATATTTGTTTTTTGCACACAGACATAATAAAATCATTTGAGAGAGAGAGAGAAAGTGAGTGGGTCTGGCTGAAAATTAGATTAGATAAGAATTAGAGCTCTAGATTCTAAATCAGCACTGGTGGGTGGGGGAGGGGCACGCGGCTTTGTTTTCATCCAGGGGGTTTTGGTGCCTCCCAGCACAGACAGCCCCCCTCCCCTGGATGTTTAGGTCTTTAGGTATTGCTGCTTTGAGGATAACTAAGGGAATTTTGTATTCTACTTTAATCTGTAAGCCCTGTTCAAAGCCCAGATTCATTTTTGCTAAATGTTCATTTCGATCTAGTCATGTAGGTAAACAGGTTAGGACAGTGCCGGGCTCACAGCAAGCAGTCAGTAATGGCTACCAGTATTTACTTCTTTTGAATATAGTTATTTAACAGATACTTGAGTTTGCTGTGTGCCAGGCAGGTTTCTAAGGGCTTCACAGATGTTAACTTATGTACTGTTATCATCTTCATTTTATAGATGAGAAAACCTGAGGCCCAGAGAGGTTGAGTAATCAGCCCAGGCCTCCTGGCCAGTGTGTGGTGGGGCTGATGTCTGAGCCCGCAGCCGGCTTCCCGGCCGTTGGTGACCACGGCTCTGCTGCCTCTCAGTGTGACCGTACTAAGGGAACCAGGCCCCACTGCAGAACATCCCTCCTCCCTCACTGCAGGACTCCCAGGAGGGAGTCAGGCCTAGCGAGGGAAGGACACTGACTTGCACAGGTCACACAGCCAATGGCGGCAGAGCCGGGGAGAGCGGCGCCACTGGCCTCAGAGTGTCTGTGCGCCTCCCTGGCTGGAGCAGGGCTCCCAGCTGACGTCCAGTAGGAGTTAGCACGGGTTAGGGGGGCCGCTCCCTTGAGGGGCCTTCCTTCACCAGAAGAGGGGGCCTCGGTGGGTGGGAAGAGCCACCCATCTGCCGGAGGCCTGGGAGAAGGTCATCCAGGCATGTCCTAAAGGAGGGAGCTCCAGGCTCCTGGGAGGGGGCAAGGCCTCCGCACCCCACAGGGCCCCTCCGCTGCAGGCCCTGGCAGACAAGCCCCTGAGCAGCCAGGAGTGAAAGGGCAAGCCGTCGGGATGTGCCAGCCTGTCCCGCCCCTGCCTCTGAAGTCATGTCAGGGACCAACTTTGAAGTCTAGGTCAGGGAGGGCTAAAAGGAGAAGGTGAGTGAGTCTGCGCTCGTACCCGGGGCTCCCAACTCTGAAGCCCGTATCTTAACCACCACACACTGGGCTGCTGCTGTGGCCATGGCAAAGCTGTCCTGGGACAGAAGAAATAACAAATGGGTTTCTTTCCGGCTGTAAAACACCATGAGGGGAAAGAGAAGGGCCTCGGATCACGCAGTTTCTCCACTGGAATAGTATGTGAGAGAGGGAAAGCCAAGGAGCAGGCCCCAGGTTAGGGAGTGGTTGCATGTTCACGGAGCATTTGGATTTTGGACAGCAGTTCCCTGCTGCTTACTGGTTGTGCAACTTCAGAAAAGTGGCTCCGCCGCTCTGCACTGAGCGCCCCTGGCCACATCCATGAAACGGGGATAATTCTGCCCACCCCAACGTGGCTGTGAGGAATAAACTGAAAAATAATTGTCAGTCATAGCACCAGGCTGTAGGACACTGGTTCTCAAAGAGTGGCCCCTGGGCCAGCTGCTTCCTAGTCACCTGGGAACTTGCTAGAAATGCAGATTCTCAGGCCCCACCCAGCCCTACTGAATCAGAAACTCCAGGGTGGGGCCCAACAATCTAGGGGTGTTTTTATTTCCTGCCCTCCAGGTGACTCTGATGCACTCTGAGACCGGCTGGTTAGAGCATCAGGCAAACATGTAAATGCGATGCTGTCACCTGTCCTAGCAGCCAGTCTTGGTGCAGAAGTGCCTCTTCCCACGGGGTGCTGACAGCCTTCCTGTACGCTTTTCATCCTCATAAACGCTGGCTGCTGGCACTTGAAATTTGAGAATGGGAATCAGTCTGGCCCCCTGCCTTCTCTGGCTGCAGGCCCAGCTTGCACAAACGATTTGGGTGGAGCCCAGGGAGGCTGGAAACAGGGAGAAGGTGGCCTCACCATCCTCTCTTGCCAGCTGTTGCTGGCCCCACCTGGGGAATTGATTAAGGGTGAACAGTGGCATTTATCTCTGTGTTAACAAGCAGGTGAGAGAGAAGCAGAAAGAATTTCCCATCAGCCTCCTGTGTGGGGGCTGGGCTAGGAAGTGGGGGTTGGGTTTCCCAGCATCTATAGGAGCAGGCAGCCCCCCCTCACCCCCTCCGTCATATCTCGGGACTCTTGTCACAGGAAGTCACACTCTTCCCCTGAGTCCAAACAAGGAAGGCCTCAGAAGCCTCCTCCTGTGCTCTGCAGCCCCTCCAGGCAGTGGGAGCTGGGTGTGAAATGAAACCCACTTGTTATTTCTGCCTTAGATACCAGCCCAAAGTTGAGGAAAGACAATACTTTCTCTTGGTACATTCCTAATTGAACATCCTAACTTCCTAATGGCAGGGGCTAAGTCTGCTTCAGCTCTGACCTGGTCACAGCCCCGCTGTTTCAAGTGCCAACTCCTCTGCCCTCACTGGCCCCCTGCCCAGACCCAGGTTCCCACCCCCACCTCTGTGCGGCACACACAGCCAGTGTCTTCGGCCTGGGCCACCTTCCCTGCAGTCTACGCTGGGCTTATCTACTCAGCCTTTAAGCACATCCTCCCAGGGCCCTCCTGACTCCCCCAACTTCCATCTCTCTGTTGCAAATTGCAGCTCTGGGTTAGCCCCATTCACCCTGCATTGAGCTTGCTGGTTACATGTTGGCCTCCCCATCAACTAACCCTGTCTGGGTCATCCTTGCCTCTCCCCCACAGCGCCCAGCCTGGCACCAGGGCATCGCTGATGTCAGCTGAATGACTCTGGGCCCCAGGTCCCTGCAACAGGTGGGGTGAGGGCTGATTTTTGAGTCGGTGCCAGGAACCTGATAACAAAAGAATGCAGGACCCCTGGCCCAGCATGGTGGCCTAAGCCTATAATCCCAGCACTTTGGGAGGCCAAGGTGGGGGGATTACTTGAGGCTAGGAGTTTGAGACCAGCCTGGGTGACATATGGAGACCCATCTCTACAAAAAAAATAAGAAAAAATTAGCTGGGCATGGTGGTGTTTGCTCATGGTCCCAGCTAGTCAGGAGGCCGAGGTAGGAGGATCGCTTGAGCCCAGGAGTTTAAGGTCGCAGTGAGCTATGTCACCAATGCACTCTAGCCTGGGTGACAGAGCAAGATCCCATCTCAAAAAAAAAAAAAAAAAAAGAATGCAGGCCCCCTGGCCAGATGCTTCAGCCCTGCCTTGGTTCACTGTGAGAACCCCTACGCAAGGCACTCTCCTTCTCTGGGCCCCAGTGTCCCTCTCTGTTAAAAGAAGATCTGGAAGCTCTGTGCCAGGCAAGGAACAGGGAGCAGGAAGTGGAGCCTCTAGATTTTCAGCCTCTGAGAGGACTCTTGGAAAATCCCCAGTGAACCTTGTCGCTTGAAACTCCCAGATAAGGAGATTGTGGGGCAATAAACTTGCACTGAGTTGTAGTCAGGTCTTGATTTGGGGGAATGAACGGGAAGCAGCTCTGTTCTGTGTCTCAGGAAGGTCCAGGCAGGAAGGGGCCCAGCCTTCCCAAGGACTGGGGCAGGTGACAGGTGGACAGCTCTGCCACCCTCACAGGTCTGCTTGTGTCTGGCATGCGAGCTCCAGAGCCCTCAGCTGATGGTCCCAACCAGTGGGCGGGGTAGGGGCGTTTTATGGATGGAAAAACAGAAAACCAGAGAGAGGGTGAGATTTGCCCAAGGTCATGGCGTAACTTAGTGTCAGAATTGGGTCTGTGGACGGGCAGAGCAGAAGGGGAGGGCCATTTGGGGTTGACAGTCTATGGCTGGGTGGGTGGAGGAAGGAAGAGAAGGAAGAAGGAGGAAGGGACGGGAGCAGCTGTCCGCTGCGCACCTGCTCCGTGCCAGACGCGTGCAAGGTCCTTTCCATCCATTCTCGTTTAATCCTTGTCTAGATCCTATGAGGAAGATAGCAGGATCCCAGCTTACAGATGGACATGCTAAGGTGAGAGACAAATACGGGTCCAGGCCTTGAACCTGGTGCCTCCTCTGTCCCTGCCCTGGGCTGCCGCCCCAAGTGTCATCTGGGGAGTTGGGGGCTGGCCCGGGAGGGTCCAAGTGCCGACCAGCAACTTCCCGGGGCTGGCTGGGATCTAGGCAGAGGGACGGGGCATGAGCGATATGGGGTGTCTGGGAGAACATGATGCTCTGAGGGGAGCAGACAGCCCCGTCTGTAGAGATGAGGAAAAGGAGCTCAGGGGGTTGGGGAACCGTGGGAGCCTCAAAACCCAAGTCTGCAGGGGGCTTTAGCCTGAGGAGAGGGGCCCCTGGGCAGGTGTGAAGGGAAATGACAGGGTCCAGGTTGGGGGCAGGATAGGAGGCCCGGGGATGGGTCACCAAGAGAGAAGGCTGCCCAGGCCTGGGCAGGGGTGAGGGAAGGGTAGCGAGCAGGAGGGTCTGTGAGGGCAGGGCAGGGCAGGAGGACACGATGCATCAGAGGAGGTGCCAGGGACCTGGGTCTGGGCAGTGTCAGATGTGGGAGGAGGCCTCCCTCAGGCCTAATCGCATAGGGAAGAGAGAGGCCTTTTCTTGGCTGGAGTCTGACTCGCTCTGTATTTCCTGTGGGGAGGCATCTGCTCGGGGGCAGAAAGACCGGAGAGTTGTAGGGGCCGAGGCCTGGGGGCAGGACTGCTTTTGTTTGCTGGCTGCAGGCTGTCTCTGCCTTGCTGAGGGTTCGCAGCCAGCCACAGAGGGTCCCTGGGCGGCTGCGCTCCTGCCTCCCTCCTGGGCTGTGCTGATGGGGCTGCTCCTCCAGCCCTCCACGCCACCCAGACCCTCAGCACCAAGGCGGGCAGGGCCTGCTGGCCTCCCCCTGCAGCGCCCAGCCCGGAGGGACGCACAAATACGCTGTCTTCGGAGTCTTCTTGGACCAGCAGGGGTTGTTAGTTAGCTTTTCACACGTGTGTGTCTGTTCCTCTGTCCACGTGGTGAGCGCCAGGGCTTGGAACAGACAGAGCCACTCAGCGCCTGGCGGCCGCTTTGTACTTTCTGGTTTAGCATCTTTACTCAGATCCCAAAGATGCTGAGCCCTCAGCACATACCTGTCATGAACGAAACCACATCTTAGAGTCCTGTAAACAATGTGGCCACAGCAGCCTTACCGGCAAATGTCTGCGCGCACTAAGCGCGCACCAGGCATCACTCCACGTGCTGTGCGGTACCTTGTTGAATCGTCAGGGTGGCCTTGTGAGAGAGTGTGGGTCTGGGACCGAACAGCTCGCCTTCACGTCCCAGCTCAGCCCCTATCTAGCTGTGTGGTCTTAGGCAAGTTACATAACCTCTCTGTGCCTGTTTCTTCATCTGTTAAAAAGAGGGTGATAGTAGTAGTAATGAGATTGCAGTGAGGGTGGCTTAGTACATGGAACCCAACACATAGTGAGCAGTGTAAGTGTTGGCTATTATTTGTACTTTGTTATCATTCCTGATTTTACCGGTAAGGAAATAGATGCATTAAGTAACTTTCCCAAAGTCACACAGATAGGAAATCAAATAACAGAGCAGTGCTGTCCAACCAAACTTTCTGTTCTATAATTGCACTGTTCCTTGGAGTACACCTGTAATCCTCGCACTCTGGGAGGCCGAGGCGGGAAGATTGCTTGAGCTCAAAAGTTTGAGACCAGCCTGAGCAAGAGAGAGAGACCTCATCTCTTCTAAAAATAGAAAAATTAGCCGGGCAAGGTGGCACGCACCTATAGTCCCAGCTACTCGGGAGACTGAGACAAGAGGATCGCTTGAGCCCAGAAGTTTGAGGTTGCTGTGAGCTAGGATGATGCCACTGCACTTTACCCAGGGTGACAGAGTGAGACTCTGTCTCAAAAAATGAAACCAGAGAATTCGATATGTAGAATTGCCTACGTTCTAGAGGTTACTGATTGCATCCCTGTGGTTGTCGCACATGTTTCCCCATACCCTGTGTGCACAGTTACATCCAAAGACTTGCCAATGTTGGGGTCAGCCTTTTGGCAAGGCCACTTCATAATTAGTGCTTCCTATTGCTCCATATTCGGCAGTGCATAACGTCTGGTCCTCCCTTTTAGCGATGCTAAGATTGGCCAGTGGGTTCAGGGGTTGCCACCCCGACCCCTCCATTACTGCAGTGAGCCTCACGCTTGGCTGTGCATCGGTCACCGGTCACCGTGGGGTTGGTGAGAGCGCTCAGCCCCACCCCCGGAATGTCCGATTCAGTAGGTTTAGGGGAGGCCTGAGCATTTGCAACTCTAACCAGTTCCCTAGTGATGAACCGCTGTGCCACATCCATCACACGTTTCTGTTGTCCTTGCCCCTAATGTGCACTGGAATCACCTGGGAGGCTTGAGCGCGCTGTTATCTGGGCCCTACCCTCAGTAATCTGATGTCAGTGAGTTTCATGTGCAAAGCTGCAAGCCACTGCCCTGCGCTTCAGCAGTCCCTCAAGGTCAGACCATCGCATCTCTTCCTGCCCTGGGCCGCTTCCCTGTGAGGTGGGGCATTGTGGAGAGCTGTGATGAATTATTCATCTCAGACAACCCCCACCCCCAGTCCTGCTTCCCACACAGGGTGCAGAATAAGCTCTAAGCCAATACTGGGTGCAGACTGGACCTTGAATGCAATCACTGCTCTTTACAAACCTTGGAGCTTTCTGCTTTGAAATGTTTTATTCTCTGGTTTGGGGTGTTGGGCTCTTTAAGAAATTGGTGCTAGAGGCTTCTCTTTCACAAGCAAATTGTCAAAGTCAGGGCTACTAGGGACTTCCAACAGAACTGTAACATGCAGACCCTAGATCTCAGTGGAGGTGATGGTGGAGGAGGAGTGACCAATTTGTCCCTGTTTGCTGGGGACGTTCCTCGTTTAGCACTGCAAGTCCTGCATCCCTAGAGCCTCGCCACAATCCTGGGCATACCAGGACAGCTGGGTGCCTGCTTCTTGGGTGAGCAGCAAGGCCTCTTCTTGCTTGGAAGGGAGGGAAGGAAACTAACCATGGGGGTGGCGGTGAGACCCGGGGTCCCTGGATCCCACTGTGCCACTTCAGACCCCGTTGCTGGCCTATGGGAGGCAAAAATAAAGACACCTTGTGCCAAGAGGTGGTGGTTTAAACCAGGGCCTGGCCTCCGAGAAACAGAGTCTAGCTGTGGATAAAACCCTCACTGAGGAGAAGTAGCTGCAACGGTGGTTTCTTCTTTCTGCCTGCTCAGGAAGGGCGGCCCCGTGGGCAGTTGCTGGTTGGGCAGCGGCCTGGCAGCGGGACGGCCCTGCCCCTGCAGGGGCCTTGGCTCCCGGGGCCAGATAGCCCACCCCACCCCGCCCCGCCCCACCCCGCCCAACCGAGCTGGGTCACGGCCCTATCTGGATTCTGGATGAATTAGAAAGGAGCTTTCTTGATAAGTTTGGGTTCAAGGCCGGGATCAGAATAAACTCTGTGATGGGCAATAGGTGGTCAGGGATTAGAGTCAAGGTGTGGGACACGCCCGTAAATAGGCGTGTATCGTGTTAATCCTCAATCCGTGAAGACCGCCTTCAAACAGGGGGGGTTCTTTACGCTAACAGTACTCTTTTTTCATTTTCAACCTACTGGATAGTTTGTGGCTCTTCTAATCTCCCTCTAATGGCTGTGGCTATAGCATGGTGTGATGGTTCAGTTCCTCTCACCAGGCACTTACGGCGGCAGCTCATTGTGCCCACAAAGTCAAATTTTAACAGAGAAAAAAAATAAAGTTTCAAATATCAGATGTGGAAGCAAAGGGACAGCGGTAGCTGTCAGCGCCAATTCCTACCCGTCCCCTGTTCAAAGACCAACCCAGGTAATTTCCCTCCTTCCCTGAGGCCAGGAACAGTGCAATTAATGAATAATCTATATGGTGCTTTGTACCGTACCCTATTTGGGTTCAGTTTCAGTCACCCTGCAGCTAACCCTTGTCCTGCAATGATTTTAGGGCTGGACAAGGAAGAGGGACCTCTGGGAGGAGATGGGAAAGTCTCTGCCTCTGTCTCTCTGTCTCTCTCTATCTCTCTGTCTCTCCTCTATCTCTCTGTCTCTCTCACACACAAGCACACACAACACCAACACACATGTATATCAGAGAGGAGCATGTGGCATAGCAGAAAGGGTGGTCTCTGGGTCAAGACTCAGCCTCTCCTTCCCACCTGCACCGCTCATATTATTAAAATACGGTTTTGGTCAAGTTGCTTCCCTTGCACCTCTGTTTTCCCATCATCAAATAGGGACGGTAATCCCCACCTGCCTCACTGGAGAGTTGTAAGGCACAGGCAGCGAGCCACTGTCAGGCATTAAGAAATAAACTCAGTGTGGTGCTAAACCCAGAGATGACTTCATCCTTTTCAGGGGTGGGGAAATCCCAGTCCCCAGAGCCTAATCCCATGGCATCAGGCCCGTTGAGCATGCATGAGATCACAGCAGCAGGACCGATGCCACCCCCTGCTTTGTGCCCCAGCAAGCTGGCCCAGAGTGCCACGCAGAGAAGGCCTACTGTGGCTTTGATGTGGGCCCGGCCAGATGGGATGGGGCAGGATGGGACTGGTGGCCTGGGATAGACCTGGCTCCGATCAGGGACATTCTGTCCCCACCCCTGGGCGAGGGACCTGCAGGCAAGTGCCTGCCTGTAGGGAAAATGAAACTCCTGTTCTCTGAATTGCTGAGTCATTAAAGTCATGCATGCACCAATACACACATGCACTCATGCGCATGTATACACGCGGCCTCAGGTAAACACCCAAACATGCATGCACACCCACGACTGGGCACGGCCCTCATGCATATCCTGGTGAATGCAGTGCTCACACACAGATGTGCACACACAGTGCACACGCGGGCCAACACACATACACAAGCTTCGCCCGTGCATCTGCGCATGCGCTCCCATACTGCGCCCACAGGGAGTGACGCCAGCCCATCCCCCACTTCTGTAACTTTCCTCCCTGGCAGCAGGTCTGGAAGGACCTTGGCATCGGAGATAACAGCTGCGGTGGGGCAGAAAGCACTGATGTTTGCGCCGCTCCAAGGCCAGGTGGCTTCATCCGTGGCCCTCCTTTCCAGAGGGGTCCACTTAGCCTCCTGGGGCTCATTTTCCTTCCCTGTAAAATGGGGGTGATCATGGTCATGGTGCTTCCCCGCAGGGGCTGATGTGAGATCCGGGCTGTGGTGACTGTCGTTATCTGGTGATGATCTCTGGGAACCCGCAGTGGAGGCTCAGCCCTAGGCCTCCGGTTACTAGCTGCGGGACCCAGTTCCTGGCCTTTTCTCCCCGCATCTGCAGGGGGAGCAAGGTCGCACCCACCTGCTGTGTGCTACACAGAGAGCACTGGAAGGGTGCCTGGCACACCGCGAGCACTCAAACCCCGTGAGTTCCTACTGCAGGGGAGGTGACCATGCGCTGCAGGAGGGTTGTCGCCGGGCCTCTCATGGCCTCTGGACTCCTCCTGGGCGGGGGGCTGGCCCTCAGGTGTCAGGTGCACAGACGGACTGTGGAGGGAGAGCCCAGAGGGCCGGGGACTCTGGATGACGTGAGGTCGTGTTGACTTCCGCACCATGCCTGGCCTCTGGCCCCACAGCCCACTGCGTGCACTCAGGCCCTTCACCTGGCCAATCCCGCCTCCTTGGCATCTCACTGACATTCCCCGCACCAACTGCAGCCCAGGTGACCGTTCCTCCTCTCCGTAGGCAGAGGAATCCATCTGAAAGTTGTGTCTGATCCTCTCACTCCCCTCTTCACCCCTCAACCGCTCCTAGTTGCCCTCAGAGTCCGAGTTCCGAGGGGTTCTGGGTCCTGCCTCCCTCTCTCTGGCCGCACCCAGCACAGGCAGCCACCTGCCACCTGCAGGGGCCGGACCTGCACGGAGCAGTGTGTCAGGCAGGGTGGGCAGGCTGCGCTGTGTGACAAACAGCCCCGTATCTAGGCGGTTCCCTCCTCTGTCACGCTGCACGTCAGTTGAGGGAGGTGCTCTGCTCCACACAGTCCCCCAGGGACCCGCTCTCTGCACCCTCTGAAACGTGTGCTCTCCTTGTCCTTTCAGCCAAGGACGAGAGTTCTGGAGGGTCACAGGCAGGTCTGACATGCTTCGGCCTGGCAGTGACACACATCGCTTCCTCCCATGGTCCATTGGAACTAATGCTATGGCTGCCCACCTGCAAGGGGGCTGGGCCCGAGGGAAGCCATGGAGTGTCTGATATGGGTCCCCACCTGTCTCAAACAGGTGCGCTTCCCACACCTGCTCAGGTTGAGGTCGGGGGGCCAGGAGCGGAACCTACTGACTTGCTCCCTACCTTTCCACCCTCTTTGCAGGCCCAAGGCAGCTCCCCAGCTGCCGCCTACTTGCCAAGACCCTAGGGAGGTCATTGTCCCTGCCGCTCCTTTCTGAGAGGACCCCCGGTGCCCACTTCTCTCAGGACCCAGTATGGAGAAAAGCTGTGCTGCTCCTTAGCAACTCGTGGCTCTTATCTTACAAACACTGACTAAATCCCTTTCTGATCGGTTTCCCTTGTTGCATTGGCCACTAGGAAGCCTGGAACCAAGTCTGAGGTCTACCTCCTCTGTGTGGAGGACCTGGCTCAGTAGCCTAACTCCCCCTACCCCCACCTCAAATCAGGTGATCTCTTTTTACCTGCATTTTTCCTCTGTCCCTATGTCTTTGGCTGTGGCTTTTGCACTATTTCCTTCTACCTTGTGTACTCTCAATTTTTGTAAGTCTCCTTAAATTTTTTGTGGGATCAGATGGGCATTAATTAGTCAGTCCATCCCTGCATTCTGTGCTCTTTCCTGTAGCTCTGGCAAATGCTGCCAGGATTTGGGGCAAAGCTCCCAAAAGGAGAGTTGAAATTTCTGAGCTTCACAGGACAAATGTGCCCCTACAAGGCTGATGCACTACCTGGTGCTGTGCGCAGGGCTTGGCTTAGGCATCAGGCCCCTGATCATGTGACCTGCCTGCGATCACACAGCCCAATCTGGTGCCTAGGAACTGAGCACAGGGAAGAGCCTCACTGGCCAGCCGCCCAGGTGGGGCAGGCACCTTCTTTGTCTCAACTGGTGGGGCCCAGCCAAACGTGCCTTCCCGTGGGTAGTTCTGGGGGCCTGGGGTGGACAGACATGTGCTGGGCCCTCCCAGAGCAGGGCCCCAGGCCTCTCCAAGGAACCTGAAGCCAGTGGAGAAGATGAGAACTGACGCCAGCCCCCAAATCAGGGTAGGCAGTGTCAGGGGCTGAGGGCAAGGAGGAGAGAGATCTCTGCTACTCAGGGTATCAAGGAGGACTCTCTGGAGGAGGTGGCTTGGGGGCTGGGGAAGAAAAGGATAGGGATTTATGGAGCCAGGAACAGGAGATTTGTGGATGGGAAAGGCAAGGGCAAAGAGCCAGAGGACTGGAGACACAAGCGCAGGCACCGAGGAGACCGGAAAGTACCGTGTAGGTGAGCAGGAAGACATGGATCCTGGGATACGGGGTAAGACCCAGCCAGAGGCCTTGAATGCCGGGCTGGGGACTGGCCTTGATCCTGTAGGGCAGCGATGACTGGGAGCATCACAGGGTGACAGGAGGTGGGGCTGGGGTGCAGGAGCACAGCCAGGTGTGCCCCGTGCTGTCACGTGTTTGGCTGCCGGCGAGGCCTGGACCCTCTCACAGGCCATCCATGATCTGGCCCCACTCACCCCTCAGCCTTGCATTCTCCTCGCTCACGTCACCCGGCTTACCTGCATATGTGTGTCTGTGTGTGTGTGATACACATATGTATTTTTGTTGTTGTTGTTCCTTTTGAATATCTCCTTGGTAATCTTACACACCTGGCTCCCAAACAATCCGTGTTCGCTTCTGTCCCAGGACCTTTGCTCAGGCTGTTCCATCTGCCTGGGACACCTTCCTTCAGCCCTCCTTTGTCCTACCTCCATGGCCAACTCCTGTTCATCCTTCAAATCACAGCTTAAGTGTCACTTCCTCCGGGAAGCCCTCCCAGACTCCCCCCATAGCCTCGCCCACAGGACTCTCTGCTCCTGTACAGGCTGGGTATGGCTTTACAGTTTCCCAGCTCCCCGGGACCTGGCACAGGGCCCAGACACACAGTGACTCTCAGCAAATATTGAGTGAACAAACGGGAGGCTGGACGCGCAGCAAAGGAAGCCCAGGGTGCCTGGATGATAACAGTGATGGTAGCAGTGATTGCACCTGTCCATCAAGTATCTGCCGAGTGCCCCGGGGTCTAAATATATCTAATTTAATCCTCACGACAAGTCCACGAGACAGATGCTTTTGTAATCTCATTTTACAGTCAAGAAAACTGAGACTCCAGAGCTTAAGTCGCTTGCCATCCAGCTGGTGAGAGACAGTGCCGGCACTGGAGCCCGGGCAGGCGGGCTCGGAGAACAGGCTGCTGCCCGCTGGGTCGGGCTCAGGGAGCCGGGACGTGGGGCCGTCTGGTGAGATGGCAGGGTGGGCCATCGGGGGCAACGTGGTGAGTTCTCTCTAAGGTTTTTCTGCCTTTTTGTGTTCACACTCGAAGGATTGAAAAGCCTTAAACCAGCAGCAGACAGGTCAGCGGGATTTACGGCCCGTCCGCCTCATCTCACCGAGTCTGTAGATGTAACCACAATTACAGCTGCTCCCCCCTGCCCTTCATTGCGCGTCACCGTCCGTGGGGAGCTGACGGCTGTCAGCTCGTGCCCCCTTCTGTGCTCTCACGGTGGAGTCTCCGTGTGTCTCGAGATCAGGGCAGCGAGCCTCTCACCTGTGTCCTGCTGCTCTCCCGCAGATGTCATGGCACCCCCAGTACCGGAGCTCCAAGTTCCGCCACGTCTTCGGCAAGCCAGCCAGCAAGGAGAACTGCTACGACTCGGTGCCCATCACCCGCAGCGTTCACGACAATCACTTCTGTGCCGTGAACCCCCACTTCATCGCAGTGGTGACTGAGTGTGCTGGCGGGGGGGCCTTCCTCGTCATCCCCCTGCACCAGGTAAGGACACCTGCTCACCCCCGGGCCCAAATAGCTCCCTGGAGGCAGCACAGGCCAGACAGAAAGTATAAAGGCCCGAGTTTCTAGCGCCCTGTGTGATTCAAGTCCAGCCCTGCCGATGACTAGCTGTGCGACCTCGGGTGAGTCATTTCACTTCTTTGCGCTTTGGTTTCCTACCTGGGAAAAATATACTACACCTGCGATTTTAGCCTTTAGAGGTTGGCCTAGCTACTCCTAGCATCTCCACTCCTCTCTGCAAATTAATTCACTCCTGAGTAAAATATAATTTTTAATGCTTTGCTGGGCTCATAGGTAATTGGGGAAATCTCCAAAGCCACCTCCCCCACCAAGAAAAAAGAGAAAGGGAGACTCAGCCAAAACTAGCCAGGAGAGGTAAGCAGTAAGCAAATAGGAGAACAGGACTGTCCTGGGGCAAATGTTATATATAACATTTGGTGGACCATATACAATTGGTGGACCATATACAATTGTCCATATGGTTTTTGGCCCTCAAAAAGTGACAGTTTCATATAGATCAACCTAATAGCAGATCTTTTCAAGATATCAACCCTGAGTCTCTGCCTTAAGGCAGAACACCTGAAGGGGTGGATCCTGGGTTGGCAGTGCCCCTGGTTCACAGCAGAAGCAGACGTGAAGCCTCTCCAGGGGAAAGCATGTGCAGTGTGGACAGGAGGCCCACAGATTAGGTAGGGTCAGGGAAGTGTGAATTCTCAAAGATCGCCAAGCGTGTACACTGCCGTGAGTCAGAGTCAGTTGAAACAACAAATAGCAAACTTAGACCCCCCCAAAGGACTTTCGAAGTTAAAATCATAAATATAGATTAGAGTCTCATAGATCAGGCTTTCTGATCACAGTGCAATTGAGTTAGAAATTAATAACAAGGGATAAATGCTAAATTCCCATCCATTAGGATATTTTAAAGCATATTTCTAAATAACTGATCAGCCGAAGATGAAACAAAATAGAAATTTAAAAATATTAATGCTTGAAAGTAAATGATAATGAAACACACCCAAAATTTATGGGAAAGCAGTACTTCAAGGGAAATGTATAGCACTAATGCTTACATTAGAAAAGAAGAAAGTCTGAAAATTAGTGGTTAAATATTTAACCTAACGAGTTATAAAAAGAACAGAGTAAATTCAAAGAAAGTTTGAGAACGAAGATAATAAAAAGCAGAAATCAATGAAAGAGGATATAAAGATACATTAGAAAAGATCAAAAAAGCCAGAAGTTGGTTCTTAGAAAAGACTGATAGACAAGGCCCTGGAGAGACTGACCAAGAATAAAAGAGAGAAGGGACAAATGACATCAGGAACAAGAAAGACAATATAGCCACAGAGTTTTAAAATCTCATAAATCACTGTTATGAGCAAATTGTATGCTAATAAATTTGACAATGTTGACAATATGGGAGAATTCCTTTAAAAATATAACTTATCAATGCTGATTCAAGTAGAAGTAGAAATCGTGGGTAGTCCTGTAACTATGTTAAAAATTGAGCAATAGAAATTTTCTTAAAATAGTGGAAGGAAAAGGCAAGCTGTAGAGTGGGAAAGGATATAATAGACTCATTTCTTAAATGTATAAAATGGACCAAAAAATCCAAAAAAACCAAACTGGTGTTTCATAGCAGAGAAAATCCAAATAGCTAATAAACATTTGAAAAAGTACTCAACCTCATTAGTAAACCAGTGAAATACCACTGCACAAGAGATCATCCAAAACTGTGAATGTCTGACAGTAGTAAGTGATGGCAAGGATATGGAGCCATGTAAACTATCAGACCTTTCTGATGGGAGTGGAAATTGGCACACCCGTTTTGGAAAAAGGAGGAAAATACACATACCTATGACCCAGCAATTCCACTCCTAGGTATAAGCCATGCATAAATGTGTGCTTATGTGCACTAAAGTATGAGAATATGCATAGGAGTATTGTTCATATCATTGCAAAACTGGAAAAATCCATACGTCCAAGAGTTTCATAAACAAGTTACAGTATATCTATTCTATTGAATATATATAACCATGAAAATAAATAAAGTGTATATATATACATCAATATGGTTGAATCATAAAGATAATGTTGAGTGAAATAAGCTGAAGGAATTATAAACTGTATCATTCAGTTTACTATAATAAAAAATGGGGTACATTAAACTCTACTTTAATGTTTACCTAATTAAGTAGTAAAATTTTAAAGAAAAGCAAAGAAGAGACTACCAGGAAACCCAGGATAATAGTTACCCCTGGGGAAGGGTGAGGCTTATGATTAGAAGGCTCATGGGCCACCTCCCATGTTCTGGTAATGGTTCGTGTCTCGGCCTGGTAGAGCAGCAATCATGAATAATTTATTTTCCAACAATGAATTAAGCTGATAATTTATATACTTTGCATTCTTTTGCATGTTTGTTATATTTTACGTACACATACACACAAGAAAGATTCCAGGCCTAGATAGTTTTACAGGTAAGTCCTACAAAACTTTTAAGGAACAGATACTTCTTATCTTTTACAAACTCTTCCAAGAATAGGAGAAAACAGACTATGCCTTCCTTATTCAGTGAGACCAGTGCAACCTCGATACCAAAACTAGACAAGGACAGAATAAGAAAAAAATATATAAAACAGTCTCACTCATGAAGATGAATGCAAAATTACTAGCAAAGAGAGTCTAACAGTGAATAAGAAAAGATACATTCTGACCAAGTTGGCTTTATTCCAGGAACTAAAGGTGGTTTAATATTAGCAAATCAATAAAAATAAATCATCATACAAACAAATGAAAGAAAAAAAACCACATGTCCAGGTCCATAGATGCAGAAAGAGCATTTGATAAAGCTCACTACCCATCCATGAGAAAAATCCCAGCAAACTAGGGATAGAAGGGAACTTCACTGATTTATAGCAAACAACATTTTAAAACTTTTTATTTTGAAACAATTTCAACCCTACAAAATTTGCAAATATAGTTTAATGAACTCCTGATTATCCTTTACCAGTTAGTAATATTTTGCCAGATTCACATTTTATCTCTGTGTGTATGTGTCTACAAACAGAGAGAAGTTATAGAGATGACCCTTCACCCTTAAATACTGTGCTTCGGTCTATATCTTCTAAGAACAAGGGCATTCTCTTATATAACCACATTCTGGAAAGTTAACAGTAATACTATGCTAATTATAATGTACAACCCAAATTCAAATTACACCAGTTGTCCCAATAATGTCCTTTAAAGTAGAAAATTTTTTTTCTGATCTAGAATCCATTTCAGGACCACACATTGCATTTCATTGTCAGATCTCTTAGTCTTCTTTATTCTGTATTATTAACATTTTTAAGGAGTAAAAGCCAGTTGTTTTGTAGAATGTTTCTACATTTGGATTTAGGATTTATCAAATTGTTTCCTCATGATTTGACTGATTTGTGTATTTTTGGCTAGAATATTACATGAGTGGTGGTAAATACTTCTTAGGTCATTATATAATAGGACATGCAATGTCAGTTTGTCCCATGACTATTAACTTTGATCTCTTTGTTAAATAGTGCAAACATCATTCATAAAGGAGAAATGTTGGAAGCATCCCTTTAAATCAGGAATAAAATTAAAAGGCTATGGCCTGTACAATAAGACTAGAAAAATAAGTTAAAGGTGTTAGGATGGGAAGGAAGAAATAAAATTGCTATTATTTACATATATGATTGTCTATATAGAAACCCAAAAGAACATGTAGTCAAATTATTAGAAAAATAAGAGTGTTTGGAAGGTAGCTGGATGCAAAAATCAGAATCCAAAATTGAATTGTATTTTACATGCCAGGAACATTTAGAAAATATAATTAAACACTTACAAAGAATAAAAGCAGATTGGATACCTAGAAATAAAGAAGCAACACTTAGAAGGAGAAAATTATACAGCATGATTGAAATACTAATATTAAAGATGACCTAAGTAATAGAAATATGTACTATATACATGGCCGGGTGAGGTGGCCACGTCTGTGATCCTAGCACTCTGGGAAGTCAAGGCGGGCAAATCGCTCAAGGTCAGGAGTTTGAGACCAGCCTGAGCAAGAGTGAGACCCCGTCTCTACTAAAAATAGAAAGAAATTAATTGACCAACTAAAACTATATATACAAAAAATTAGCCAGGCATGGTGGCACGTGCCTGTAGTCCCAGCTACTCAGGAGGATGAGGCAGTAGGATTGCTTGAGCCAGGGAGATTGAGGTTGCTGTGAGCTAGGCTGATGCCAGGGCACCCACTCTAGCTTGGGCAACAAAGTGAGACTCTGTCTCAAAAAAAAAAGTACTATATACATGGATAGGCACTTTTTTTTTCCTCCCCCAAATTTCCACAGCATTCTCCATTTTTTAAATTCTCAGGTACCTAGTCTCCTGAGAAGCATTCTTCTTTCTTAGGACATATTCCACAGCGTATTTTTTTCCTTAAGATACAACATCCTGACTACTCTGAATTAGAGTCATTTGTGTTCTTCTGCTAGTACCTCTTAATGTACTTGGAATGGGGGGAGAGAGAATCAGTACTTTGTTTACTCATATATTACATTGTGGGTGTATAATTGGTGCTCATAAATTTTCATCAACAGCAAGTTACCTAATGGTTGTTCATCCAAGTAAATTGGGAGGGCATAATGGCAAAGGGAATGGCCCCAGCAAAGGCATGGAGGTGGGACTGTTCTGGAATGTTCAGGGAGCAATGCAGAGAGCAAATCAACAATCTGTGAAGGAAAGGAAAGAAAATACCCTGGGAAGGTGGACTGAGGCCAGGTAAGAAGGGCCTTGAATGCTGGCATGAGACGTCTGAACTGCATTCTAGAGAGAAATAAATATTTCAAGCTGGGGCGGAACAAGTGCAAAATGGAATTTATAGAAAGACTTGAAGTTCCTATTATAATTATTATATTATTATTAATAACTGGAAGAACCTCTAGAGATGACTCACTTGGCAACTTGTT